GGGTAGCAGAGGGGTGACGTCACAAAATGGCTACTCAAAACTGTATGATTCAATATGGCGATCAACAGAGATGAAAGCAGGACCATAAATTTCAGTTATAAATGATGTAAATGTCTATAACAATTGGAAATGTCAATCCCTAAGGAGATTAGATCCCACGTTACTAGACCATAAAAAAAACTCTCTGGAGATCAAAGTCTATAGTTAATTATAACTCACCAACACTTTGGCCATACAATCGCAACAAATATAATCCAACTACTTTATACTGTAACGGAATTTAAAATGTAAAATTTTTGATTTTTAATTAAGTGCTGTGTTTTTGTATATAAGGTAATTATTACACTTGAAAAGTAATTTCCCATTGAGATTATTAAGATTTATAAATGTAGTATCATTTGCAGCACTTAGGTTGTACTTACAGAGGTGAAATAGTTCACATGTTTTATTTATTTGATCACGATTTTGTTTATGTTGATCAGGAAGTCTTATCTGGCAGTCTAATTTGTAGTTGATCGTTAGTCTAACATGACACCTTTATTATTTTACTTCCTGCTTTTGATTCGATTGAATCGAAGTGAAATTAGACTAGATAGTGATTAATTACTGTTATATTTCTTGAGTCAATATTATAATCTTGCTGTATGGTCAATATTGAAGCGAAATATGGCGTAAATGAGCTGTAATTCACAGTTGAAATCTTGTACGAAAATCGATGACGTCATCCGGCCTATATAAGTATCTCGCTGTTGAAGGCTCGTCAGTGCGATGCCAGATGTTGTCGAGGAAGGACCTCCAGAGCGGAATTTCGGGAAACAGCTAAAATCTTCTAAGTTTTATAGAACTTAGTTGATTTTGTGGTCTTGAAGCTATACGTTTGCAGTATACATATGAAGATAGAAGCTGTACCTTAGTAGGATACATCTGATGAGCCAAGCTATACGTTTGCAGTATACAAGGGCAGATTGAGGAAACTAAGTGTGCGAAACTTAGTTTATTTTGGAACTTGGATTTTTGGGAAACTTTGATGCAACTAAGTGTGTGAAACTTAGTTTATTTATCGCACTGGAAGTAAGGGAGATCTACAAGACTGGACAAAACTTCAACAGGGTGAAGCTATCCCCAGCGCAAAGCATTAGACGTATTGTCCAGCCTTCATAGACTGAGAGGAAATGCTGACATAACTTGTGTTTGAGAAACAAGCTATTTTGATCATCAAGGAACTTAGACGATTTACAACATTATTGGACTTAGTCAGTATTTGGTGAAATATTATTTTGGACTTTGTTATTTTTGGAGATAGAAATATTTAACTTAGAATATTTTAACATCAGTATAACTTAGTATGAAATTAACTTAGTCAATATTTGGTGAAATATTATTTTGGACTTTGTTGTTTTTGGAAAGAGAAATATTGAACTTAGAATATTTTAATATCAGTATCACTTAACATTAAATGAACTTAGTCATTTTAGAGGTCAAATATTTTCACTTGTTATCTTTTTGCATATGTTGTTGTGTGCATGCTATATTTGTAGGTAGCCTGATTATTTAATTGTGAAGGAAGTATAGGCTACATAGACTTAACAGTTGATGCCGTGTATTAGACGTCCTTGGACTTGGTAGATTGAAGATTGTGATAGTTTGACTTATACATCTGCAGAGAAGAGGTTCTGGGACTTAGCAGTTTATTCAATGAGATATTTTGACTTTGATGATTTTGGGTCATTGAAGTTAGAATATACATCTACAGAGAAGAGGTTCCAGGACTTAGCAGTTTATTCAACGAGATATTTTGACTTTGCTGATTTTGGGTCATTGAAGTTAGAATATACATCTACAGAGAAGAGGTTCCAGGACTTAGCAGTTTATTCAATGAGATATTTTGACTTTGATGATTTTGGGTCATTGAAGTTAGAATATACATCTACAGAGAGGACGTTCTAGGACTTAGCAGATTATCCAGCAAGATATTTTGACTTTGATGATTTTGTGTCATTGAAGTTAGAATATACATCTATATTGAGGAGGATCCAGGAGATAGTCGTTTACAGACTTGATAGTTTGACTTAGATTATTTCACATAATCAAAGTTGAATTATACTACAACACATTGAGGAGGATTCAAGAGATAGTCGTTTCCAGACTTGATAGTTTGACTTAGATTATTTCACATAATCAAAGTTGAATTATACTACAACACATTGAGGAGGATCCAGGAGATAGCCATTTACCGAGCCGATAGTTGACTTGATGATTTCACATTATCAAAGCTGAATTATACTACAATACAGTGAAGAGGATCCAGGAGATAGCCGTTTACTGAGCAATAGTTGACAGGATCCAGGAGATAGACATTTGCAGAGCCGCTGGTTGACTTAGATGATTTCATATCATCAAACTTGAATCATACTACACTACATTGAAGAGGATCCAGGAGATTACTATTTCAGGTTCAAGTTACAAGTACAATACAAGACTTACAAGTGTTACAACATATATGGACTTAATATTGGAGATACAACAGTGGTATATAGTGATCATCAACTTTAGTTTATATGGACTCTGGATATTGTGTTATTAGTGATAAATATTAGTTTATATGGACTCTGGATATTGTTTTATTAGTGATAAATATTAGCTTAGATGGACTTTTGAGTTGTGAGTTTTGAGAGAGATATTAAAATCGTAACACTCTTACAATTAGACTTGAAATTTAATGTACATCTTTATTTGGGCTTATAAACGCCACAATATACTGTTTTATATTTTATATTTAATTGAATGTCTGTTTAATTCTTTAGGGACAATCGCACATTTAACGTGTGCCGTGTAACTCACCAAGTAAACACCGTTTACTAAACAGTGGGCCTATTATTAGCCACGCTACCACGTATATCCACAAAAATAGGCCAAACTGTTACATTGGTGGCAGCGGTGTTGGGATAGACTGTTTCTGAGGAATTGAACCAGAGGCACATTATAGCACATTAAAGATGGATACAGAGGCTCCGAAGTCGATAGAGAGTGGTGATCTCTCTGATACAAATACAGACAAGTCTAAAGATGTAGAGAAGACTGTCTTTGTAAAGTTAGCTACAGACGGTGAGATAGATAATCCCATAGCCAAGGATAACACTCTTCAATATACAGGAAGAAAGGCTACGGAACACATGGCTACAGAACTCCCAGCGATGGAGAAATGGAGGTTGCCAAGTGAGGCAGATCCAGATGAGAGACGCCCTACAGTTGGGGGTGCAGAAGCAATCTACCCTAGTGATAAGACTGGGATAGAAACCGAGTTTAAGAAAGCCTGGAGTAGACAGACTACTGGCTATTGGTCAGGCACAGTACATGATGGTGTGTATAGTCCACAGAGTCAAGCATGGGGAGCCAGACCCAAAGGAGATAGATATATGCCTCGCACCTCAACAATGATAACTACACCTGCAGAACTTAAACTGGGCATGCAGGAAAGACCAGTTGATAGAGAAATGAAAACGCATATACATGTTATGGAAGATGCCATTAACCAGAATGTGACTACCATAAACATGATGGAAGGACACATGTCTAACATGGGAAGCCAGGTCAATAACCTTGGAGGAGATGTAACACAGATAAAAGACCAGGTGAACAACTTATGCCAGACATTACAGATGGTATTACAAAGTTCAACTTCTCGCTCTGAGCCAGTATTACAGAGTAATGTCCGACCTTCAAGTCCTGTAGTTACATTCGGATTGAATCCAGGGATTAGGACAGAGTTACCGATGAAGTCAAGTGTAACCCCTCAAAGATTACAGTCTCAAGAAGTAGCTTCTACATTTAACCCCCAGCAAAGACTGGTAGGGGGGCGCATGGCGGCTAATCAAGAATTGCCTGTGAAACAAGATAAAGAGATCACACCCCCAAAGTGGCCACTCAGACGCCAGAAGAGAATGACTTCTGAAGAAGATTTTCCGGGATTGTCAAAGCGACATGCATTTCAGAGTCCTCCGACAAAAAGGAGATTTACAACTGTAGCTCCAGAAGATGACTTCAGATGTGGAGAACCAAAGGTTTTCGAAATGCAAAGTGAAGGAGTATCTTTACCTCAATCGGCGTATCATCCAGAGCCAGCTGTTAGACATCAGTTGGATGAAGTCAAGTTGGAAGATGGAGATGCACATAGTTCCAATGAACGAAGGGCTCATTATTTTGATAATGGTGAACCACCTCTTACAAAACAGGAGCCATCAGAGACAGCATCAGATCAGATGGCTGCTATGGTTGTTCGATTAGCTGAGAAGGTACTCAATGATTCACCAAGTAATAATAGATCATCCCAGGGCAAGACAAAGATCAAGCCAGACACATATAATGGAACTACACCCTGGATAGATTACAAAGCCTATTTTGCCATGTGTGTAAGTGCAAATTCATGGAGCGATGAAGAGAAGAAACAGTTTCTTGCAACTAGCCTTAGGGGTCAAGCGCAACAACTTATCTATGAGATGGACCCTGGCTATACGTATGATGAATTGGTGTCTGCCTTAGATAAAAGGTTTGGCCCAGGAGGTAAAGCAGATGTGTACCAAGCAGAGTGGGTTAGCCGAACACGTAAACCAAAGGAAACACTACAGACTCTGGGTCAAGATGTCAGACGGCTGACATCATTAGCATATCCTGAGTTACCTCGGGCTGCTCAAGATCGATTGGCAAGGGAACGTTTTGCTCAGGCTATCCCTGATGATGAGATTAGGCGTGCCATTCATAATAATAGCAGTGATTGTTGCACTTTGGACAAAGCCATCGAAATTGCCATACGAGAAGAGTCTTACCTTGAGTCTGAAAGGATGCGCAAAGGTTTAAAACCAAGACATAGAGATGAAAGAGTAAATGCTGTAGAAGAGAAACAGGCTCAAAATGAAATGATGCAATTGGTAAAGGCATTTCAGGAGATGCATAGGGACTCTACAGTAATGCAAAATAAATTGATGCAGGAGAATCTTATGAAGGTGGTGCAAGAGATGCACAAAGAATCTACAGCTAATCTTAAGACAATAATACAAGAGTTGAAGGACAAAGAAAAATCCAATGAGTCTGGAGAGAAAAGGCCTGTGTCCAGAGGTGTCAAATGTTATTATTGCGACAAGTTAGGACATTATCAGTCTGATTGTTATAAAAAACAGAATGACATCAAGAAAGGCATCATCAAAGATTCTAAAGGAGAATCCACAAATCCTGTCAAGTTTCTAACACATGGAGACTTGGAGATATCCAAAAATGATAGTAGCGACACTACGATAAGCAAGATTATAGACACTGGTACTGTGTGTGGAACGAAGGTAGAGTTCTTAGTGGATTCTGGAGCCGTCCGAACTATGATTGGCCAGCGAAGTTATATGCAGATACCAGATAGACTGAAACCCAGATTGTATCCTGCAGATAGGGTATTCATTCAAGCAAGTGGCAGCCCTATAGCAGTCTGTGGAATAATTGATGGAATAATTGAATTAGATGGTCAGGAAACACAAACATCCATTGTAGTGGCAGATATTGATCATGATGGAATTTTAGGATCTGATTTCATGACAATCACTGGTGCTGTGATAAATTATGGAGCTAAAGAATTGACCTTTCCAGCAAGTCAACTTGCTGAGGCTATGGCAGCTAATGTGATTGAAGATAAGATGCTGCCTTCCACTACTTCTTCAGAGAAGACATCTGCAGATACAGATACCGAGATTATCCAGCTTGAGGAACCTGAGGAACCAGAGTTGCCTCCAGCACCTTGTCCAACAGATGAAAGTGACAACAGTGATGATGATTTAACTGAGCTGAAACTTGGAACTCCTGTGTCACAGTCGACACCTGTTGGAGTAAGATCAAGTCCAATTGGTTATTATCCAGTTAAATCCGGAGAAGAAGATGGAAGGGAACCTGCACCTGATGTACCATTTTGTCCGGGTTTGATCTGTGTTACACCGACGAGTGTAGCGATACCAGAGACTCCCTCTGTGAGTCAGGGAAGTACGTCCCAGGCATCGTCGAGTGACGTGCAGGGTATTCAAGACACTCCAGATTCCCAAGATGTAGAACCTGATTTATCCCAATATCAACGAAGTTTGCAAAGTGAAGATTTGTTTTCAAACAAATCAAGTAGCCCAGAATTAGAGTTGAACAGGGACTCAGCAGAATGTGACGAAGAGAGCTTCACGACTTGTAGTTCTGCACCAGAGTTGCAAGCTCAATGTTCAACAGGACTCACAGTTAATCAAGATGATACTGAGTTACCAAATATAGGAGAGGCTAGCGGAAGTCAATCAGTCACGGATTGCAGAGTGAAAGAGGATATTACCGTTGAACCTTACACAATGCGCTTAATAGAAGTGGAGATGCAGAAGAGCATCAATTCGTGTGAGTTGGGAATTATAGAGCCTCTTACTGATTTTGACGCAGCAAATGTAGAAGTTGTGTCCACATTGGTAGAATTAGGCCAGCAACAATTGTTTGTGGAAGTGTGGAACCATACTGAATTTCAAGAACATCTACCTGCTGGAATAACCATTGGAGAGTACAGTACCATTGAAACTGGAGTGTATCATTTGACAGATGCATCTGAGTTGCCTCAAGATGATGTATGCATCTTACAGGGAGCATCTGCTGGTACAGACATGAAAATACAAACACTACCAGCACATTTACAGGAATTATTTGACAGAAGTTGTGAACATCTGACGGATAATCAAAGGGAAAAAGTTAGAGTTATGCTGTGTCGAAATGCTGACATATTCGCCACAGGAGATGCTGATTTAGGACGCACTCACCTAGTTAAACACCACATTGATACTGGTGATTCTGCCCCTATTAAGCAAATGTATCGACCCTTACCGAAAGTTAAACAAGAAGAGGTGAATAAACAGATTGAGGATATGTTGGAGAGAGGGATAATTGAGAAATCAAAAAGTCCATGGGCATCTCCAATTGTCTTGGTGAAAAAGAAAGACAATTCATGGAGGTTTTGTGTAGATTACAGGCGCCTCAACTCTGTCACCAAGAAAGATGCATTCCCTATACCACGAATAGAGGAGACCCTCAACATGATGAATGGATCAACTTACTTCTCTTGCTTAGATATGGCAAGCGGATACTGGCAATGTGAATTAGATGAGAACGCCAAAGAGAAGTCTGCATTTGTCGTAAGAGGTGGCTTATACCAATGGGTTGTCATGCCTTTTGGGTTGGCGAATGCCCCTTCTACATTTTCAAGATTAATGGAACAAGTGTTACATGGACTCAGCTCGCAGTCATCACTCGTCTACTTGGATGACGTCATAACGTTTTCGCCAACGTTTGATGGCTGTATGGATCGATTACAAGAAGTATTCGACAGATTCAGAGCTGCAGGTCTCCGTCTCAAACCGAGGAAGTGTTCCTTGTTCCAGAGAGAAGTTGATTATTTGGGACATGTGGTGTCGGAGAATGGGATCGCTCCAAATCCAAAGAAAGTTCAGCAGATGGCTGAGTACCCAACACCAAAGAACGTCAAGGAAGTTAGGCAATTCTTGGGTGGTGCATCATACTATAGGCGCCATGTGCAAGACTTTGCAAAAATTGCTGGTCCCTTACATGCTTTGACGAAGAAAAACCAAAGATTTTATTGGGATGGGGATTGCCAAGTAGCATTTGACATGCTGAAGCAGAAGCTTATTACGGCTCCTATATTGGCCTATCCCAGAGATGACTGCCCATATATTCTTGATACAGATGCCAGTAACGAGTCTATTGGTGCTGTACTATCTCAACTTCAAGATGGAGAAGAAAGAGTGATATATTATGCCAGCAAGCGGCTCAATAAACAAGAGAAGAACTATTGTGTGACCAGGAGGGAGTTGCTGGCTGCAGTGAACTATGTGCGCTACTTTCGACAATACCTGTATGGAGTCCACTTTAAACTCCGAACGGATCATAGTTCACTGAGATGGTTGATCAACTTTAAGGATCCCGAGGGACAACTGGCTCGTTGGTTGCAGGTGATTCAAGAGTACAATTTTGAACTTGAGTTTCGACCAGGCAACAAACACCAGAATGCGGATGTGATGTCCAGGATTCCCTGCCGACAGTGTGACCACTGTGAAATACCAGAGGAGACTACCATGTATTGTGTAGAAGATATAGCAACAGTGGCTATACATCCAGAGTGGACTTTAGAGAAGATAGCAGAGGCTCAAGCAGACGATTCAGATATTGGGCCAATACTGAAAGCAAAACTTAAGTCTGAAGCGAGACCATCTTGGGATGAAATAAGCTATAACAGTGCGGCTATCAAGCACTATTGGAACCAGTGGGATCGCATTGTGCTAAATAAGGGAGTTTTATGCAGAAGTTGGGAAGATGATGAAGGAAATACTGCATCACTTCAGATATTGGCACCAGCAGTACTTAGGCCAATAGTTTTAGAGATGAGCCATAGTAACAAAGTTGCTGGACACTTTGGCATTAAGAAGACATTCATGAGGAGTCGACAGCGGTTCAATTGGCATGAACAACGTAATGATGTACGAGCTGTTGTGCGAACTTGCAAGATTTGTGGTGCAAGGAAGAAACCCATGAAACCATATCGTGCCCCTATGAAGACCCATGGAGTTGGGAATCCTATGGAAAGGATAGCCATAGATATCCTTGGGCCTTTTCCAGAAACTCCTCGTGGAAACAAAGTTATACTTGTATGTGGGGACTATTTCTCCAAGTGGATGGAGGCTTTTGCTTTACCCAATCAAGAGGCCCGTACTGTTGCTGACAAGATAGTGGCTGAAGTTGTATGTCGACTCGGAATGCCTGCGACCCTACATTCCGATCAGGGACGAAACTTTGAGGCGAAAGTCTTTCAAGAGATGTGCAACTTGCTGGGTATAGAGAAGACGAGGACAACACCATTCCACCCCCAGTCGGATGGGATGATAGAGCGCTACAACCGTACGTTGTTAGATTCTTTGGCTAAGCTCCTTCAGCCAGAACCCCACCAAACAGACTGGGATTTGCAAATTCCGTTCGCACTAATGGTCTACAGAACGGCAGTAAATGAATCCACAGGCGAGACACCAGCCATGTTGATGCTCGGTAGAGAGCTGAAACTTCCTTTGGAGACATTAATTAAAGTCCCACCAACGGATACCGAGGAAAGTGATTAAGTCACTGATTTACGAGAGAAACTTAGTGAAGCCCATGATCGTGCACGAGCGAAACTTAAACTCAGTGCAGAAAGACAGAAGGTGGCGTATGATCGGAAGTTGGCTGGACATTCCTACAGTGAAGGAGATGCTGTCTGGTATTTGGACAATACCAAAAGGAAAGGAGTGTCGCCAAAATTGGAGAGTAAATGGAAGGGTCCTTTCCAAATCATCAAGAAGATCTCCGATGTCACCTACAGAATACAGATTAAGGGCAAGAAACCAAGAGTTATACACTTCAATATGCTCAAACCATATGAAGCTGAATTGCCGGATGGTTGGTGTATACCAAAGTCACAGCCAGAGATAATTATGGAACCTCTTACAGATGACCCCGTGCAGGATTTAGTTACTGACAAGGTTCCATGTTCTTCTAAGCCTATCTCTAAGACTGTGAAATGGAAAGATCAGGAAGAAAACCCTAAAGTAGAGTCTGAAAGAGACTTTTCACCCATTCTACCAGATGAAACATCAGATCCTAAAGAAACTGTAAAGTCATCACCCAAGCGGGAAATGGATGAAAAACCATCCAGGAGGGAGCGCAAACGTCCCAGACACTTGGATGATTTTGTGGCTGAGGTTTCTGATGTGTACAACCAGCCTGGAACAAGCAGAGATAGTCATCAGTCGAGGCCGTATTCAAGGTCACCTGATTACAGACATGATTTGAGATCGGATAAGTATGGTCCTAGGTCAAGGAGATCAGAATGCCGACATGACAGAAATCGATCAGCTCATTTTTCTGATAGACATTCCCGATTGAGACACAGAGCATCAAATGAGCTTAACAGGACAAACCGTACTCGTGAAGCAGACCTTCCAGACAGTTTCCCACGTCACAGAAGGTTTAGCAGGGATCGTGATTGGAGATCCAGATCCGGTGAGAGTAGGTGGAAGTCCAGGTCTCAATCATCCAGGAAGCGCTACAAGAGAGAGTAAATTCACATGAGTATAATTTTAAATATGTGAAGTGAAACATAGTTAGGTGTTAACTTGTTAGATATCTAGATAACTTTAGATAGTTAGATATTCAAGTAGTTAGAAACTTGAACATTGTATTGATAGTTAGTTAACCCCAGGGTTGAACACATTTGACAGGTTAACATATTTGACATATTATACATTTTTTGCAAGTTAGATATTGGTAAGTTTTTTTATAGTTAGTTAGAAAGTACATTTATGTCTTAGTTTGGTACGAGGACGTACCAATATCTTGGTAGGGGGGAGTGTAACGGAATTTAAAATGTAAAATTTTTGATTTTTAATTAAGTGCTGTGTTTTTGTATATAAGGTAATTATTACACTTGAAAAGTAATTTCCCATTGAGATTATTAAGATTTATAAATGTAGTATCATTTGCAGCACTTAGGTTGTACTTACAGAGGTGAAATAGTTCACATGTTTTATTTATTTGATCACGATTTTGTTTATGTTGATCAGGAAGTCTTATCTGGCAGTCTAATTTGTAGTTGATCGTTAGTCTAACATGACACCTTTATTATTTTACTTCCTGCTTTTGATTCGATTGAATCGAAGTGAAATTAGACTAGATAGTGATTAATTACTGTTATATTTCTTGAGTCAATATTATAATCTTGCTGTATGGTCAATATTGAAGCGAAATATGGCGTAAATGAGCTGTAATTCACAGTTGAAATCTTGTACGAAAATCGATGACGTCATCCGGCCTATATAAGTATCTCGCTGTTGAAGGCTCGTCAGTGCGATGCCAGATGTTGTCGAGGAAGGACCTCCAGAGCGGAATTTCGGGAAACAGCTAAAATCTTCTAAGTTTTATAGAACTTAGTTGATTTTGTGGTCTTGAAGCTATACGTTTGCAGTATACATATGAAGATAGAAGCTGTACCTTAGTAGGATACATCTGATGAGCCAAGCTATACGTTTGCAGTATACAAGGGCAGATTGAGGAAACTAAGTGTGCGAAACTTAGTTTATTTTGGAACTTGGATTTTTGGGAAACTTTGATGCAACTAAGTGTGTGAAACTTTTTTATCGTTTATTTATCGCACTGGAAGTAAGGGAGATCTACAAGACTGGACAAAACAGGGTGAAGCTATCCCCAGCGCAAAGCATTAGACGTATTGTCCAGCCTTCATAGACTGAGAGGAAATGCTGACATAACTTGTGTTTGAGAAACAAGCTATTTTGATCATCAAGGAACTTAGACGATTTACAACATTATTGGACTTAGTCAGTATTTGGTGAAATATTATTTTGGACTTTGTTATTTTTGGAGATAGAAATATTTAACTTAGAATATTTTAACATCAGTATAACTTAGTATGAAATTAACTTAGTCAATATTTGGTGAAATATTATTTTGGACTTTGTTGTTTTTGGAAAGAGAAATATTGAACTTAGAATATTTTAATATCAGTATCACTTAACATTAAATGAACTTAGTCATTTTAGAGGTCAAATATTTTCACTTGTTATCTTTTTGCATATGTTGTTGTGTGCATGCTATATTTGTAGGTAGCCTGATTATTTAATTGTGAAGGAAGTATAGGCTACATAGACTTAACAGTTGATGCCGTGTATTAGACGTCCTTGGACTTGGTAGATTGAAGATTGTGATAGTTTGACTTATACATCTGCAGAGAAGAGGTTCTGGGACTTAGCAGTTTATTCAATGAGATATTTTGACTTTGATGATTTTGGGTCATTGAAGTTAGAATATACATCTACAGAGAAGAGGTTCCAGGACTTAGCAGTTTATTCAACGAGATATTTTGACTTTGCTGATTTTGGGTCATTGAAGTTAGAATATACATCTACAGAGAAGAGGTTCCAGGACTTAGCAGTTTATTCAATGAGATATTTTGACTTTGATGATTTTGGGTCATTGAAGTTAGAATATACATCTACAGAGAGGACGTTCTAGGACTTAGCAGATTATCCAGCGAGATATTTTGACTTTGATGATTTTGTGTCATTGAAGTTAGAATATACATCTACATTGAGGAGGATCCAGGAGATAGTCGTTTACAGACTTGATAGTTTGACTTAGATTATTTCACATAATCAAAGTTGAATTATACTACAACACATTGAGGAGGATTCAAGAGATAGTCGTTTCCAGACTTGATAGTTTGACTTAGATTATTTCACATAATCAAAGTTGAATTATACTACAACACATTGAGGAGGATCCAGGAGATAGCCATTTACCGAGCCGATAGTTGACTTGATGATTTCACATTATCAAAGCTGAATTATACTACAATACAGTGAAGAGGATCCAGGAGATAGCCGTTTACTGAGCAATAGTTGACAGGATCCAGGAGATAGACATTTGCAGAGCCGCTGGTTGACTTAGATGATTTCATATCATCAAACTTGAATCATACTACACTACATTGAAGAGGATCCAGGAGATTACTATTTCAGGTTCAAGTTACAAGTACAATACAAGACTTACAAGTGTTACAACATATATGGACTTAATATTGGAGATACAACAGTGGTATATAGTGATCATCAACTTTAGTTTATATGGACTCTGGATATTGTGTTATTAGTGATAAATATTAGTTTATATGGACTCTGGATATTGTTTTATTAGTGATAAATATTAGCTTAGATGGACTTTTGAGTTGTGAGTTTTGAGAGAGATATTAAAATCGTAACACTCTTACAATTAGACTTGAAATTTAATGTACATCTTTATTTGGGCTTATAAATGCCACAATATACTGTTTTATATTTTATATTTAATTGAATGTCTGTTTAATTCTTTAGGGACAATCGCACATTTAACGTGTGCCGTGTAACTCACCAAGTAAACACCGTTTACTAAACAGTGGGCCTATTATTAGCCACGCTACCACGTATATCCACAAAAATAGGCCAAACTGTTACAATACTGTACGTAAATCCTATCGCTACACGATCATCAACGGCTCCTTGTATTCTATTAAATACACACCAACAAAATAATCCAATAAAGTCTTTTACACATGTGTCTGCTATATTCCAATGTCCACACTGTGCGAGGTCTTGTCCATTCAACTTTCCAAGATCAACTGCGCACATGGGCCAGATTCTATGCTATCTCTCCTGTCTGATGATATGCAGCGGGAAACCCTCTGATTGGCTGAGATAGTTTGTTTATCCCATTTGGTGCTGCATTCTGGGTAACTTGCCTCTGACTGTCTGGCAAATATTCAAATTTCGTACAGGTTGAACAATTCTAATTGCAAGGGTTCCTCCAGCAACCAGAGCAAAGAGCATCTTTACATCATACACATATGAGCAATTTAACTCCACAAATGAGTCAACTGACTCTACATATAAAAAATGGCAAAATTAACAAATACAATGATACAACATCTTAAGAATGACAAAGTCCATGTACAATAAAACCACTGAAGAAACAAATTTCGTCACAGTATTTATTCACTCCTATTCTGATTCAGAACTTAACGACCAAGCCTTTCGGTAGTTTTGCTTTATTTCTCATGGTAAGATCCCATTGCATTGACAGCTCCGATTTCCTTTACTTTCCAGATCTCCAATGTACCATACCGTACATTATCATACTAGGAGGGACAGATGTAAATGAACATTGTAAAGATCAACAATCTAGCAATATAATGGCTCAAGCACTTAGAGGTGCATCGTAAGTCCATTTATATATTTTTATGCATTTTCGATGATTTTGTTCAATATGAGCTTGTTCGAAATGTCTATAAATGTCTCAAGGAGGATTGGCTCCCAGGATCGAAACTCGATATTTTCCAACAATGAAAACGTCGAAATGTCGTTATTTTCTGAAATTAAAACCGACTATAAATTCAAAATAAACAGTTCAAAATATTCGAACCAATATCTCGATCATTTCTTGTGAGTTTTGGAATTTTTCGTTTGGAAATAAGACCAAAATTCACGATTTAAATGTTGAAGTGAACAAAATGGCGGCTGTTTGAATTCGAATTTTGTATTACGACATACCCATATATGGGACAGAATATCGGTGGTGCACTCTGGGAGCCAATCCTCCTTGTAAATGTCTATAATTATATCAGAATACGGTTGGTGTCAGCATTGGGCCAAAATTCTATATGGCGGATATTATGAGTGAAATAAAAAAAACTTATGATCCGTTCTAATGAATATTGACATTTCTGCTTCTTATATCAGATTTATCAATTCTTTTTTTTTCAGAAATAAAATTTATAATCATGGAAACATTGACTTTTTAAAATATTGCTTCCAAAACTTGCTATCAAAGAACCACATTGAATCATATGGTTTCCATCATGAATTGGATGTGAGACATTGATATCAGTATCTTCCATTTAAGGTCATTGTATTTTGTCTTTTATTCTCACACTACTTGTATTAAATGTGGATGTTGATATGAATATATTTTTCCATCCTCAAGTATGAATTGAATAACAATAGAAAAAATGAAGAACAATACGATCATATCGAAACACTCTGAACAATAATGCAGAGAAATTGTTTTTGCTTAAAACTTGAACTGGCATTGAGGGCTTTATGTTTCATCGTTTTATTGTTTATTTTGCAGTCATATAGTGTCATTCTGCAGTCCTATGACTGAGCAGTTATTGTATGTCTGGGTAAGTTTATTTTTATGTTCATCTTCACCTTCAAATCCACATGTGGAGGTTACATGTCTGCCTCAACAGACTGACAACCACTTAAAGTCCATTCATGAATGATTGAGACAATAGCTAATGTTCTAGATGACATATAGAAACATTCACTAGACTACGTGTATTTATTGGTAATCCAATATAATTTGAAATAGCATATGAATGAACTGTGAAATTATCCTTGATGTCATCTTCAATTCTTAATAATTGTCTTAAAATAGTGAATTCATTGTTTCAAAAGGTTCAAGCAGTGAGAAGACTGCCATTAGTGAGATATTACTTGAGTATGTCTATGATCGTATAATTTGGATTTGTTGTATGTTACTTTTCCATTTATCACTAAATTGAAATGTTACGTTTTGGATTACCAATTTTGTATCCTATATTCTTTTAGATATATAAAATTTATTCTGGGATTGAGAAACACAATGTTCTGGATTGCATTTAAGGTCCTTATGGGAACATCTGTATACATGTGATACCTTTATTTGTTTTCCTCATTAACATATCGCCATATGAGAATAATAATGTCCCAAGTGCCATTTTTAAAAAAAAATGAGATTTTCACAGATCTCCAATATTGAAATCATCCCCTTTCTAAACCTTTATCTCCTTTCAATATCCTGCTTTTTAGTGTCAAATTGTCCTAACTCCATGAAATTCAAAAATACAATTTAACTCTGTTCTATGTATCTCTTTAACCAATCAAATTGTTTGAATTACACCATGTGACTAAGAATTATTAGTCCTATATTACAATTTTAAACTGAGATTTGAATTTATTTTTGAAAAAATGAATAGAGAAATTTGTGTCCATTGAAAATACCATGGACGTTCAATTAACTAGTTGAAAGCCCTTGAAAATACATAGCAAAATGGACATAGCTCAGCTTTAATCTTTTAATGTTACGAAAAACTCGGAATTGAATTGTCTCCAATGCAATATCTCCATTTTTAATATGCTCAAAAATTCACTTAGAAAATCTTGAAATTCATGAATTCTTTAGTGTTATATACACAAATTTTGGATAAAAAGAATGTAAAAATTTCACAAATGATAGATAGACAGTATTGACGTTACAGATGCCTAAACTTTCAAAAATTGATTTCTGAGTTTCACAAAAATGTGAGTTGGGATATTTTTATTCTCATAGGGCAAAATGTCATATACAGGAGAATTAATTGTTTAATGGTTGGTTTTATTTGTTTACTGTATTCTAATGTTATCGTTGTTTTGTTGTTGAGTTTAATTGTTACTTTAGTACTATATAGGGATTTCATCAGAATCAACATTAGGCCCTAAATATTTCGTTTGTCATTAAATTCTAGAGAAATATTGGCAGTTTTTTAAAATTGAAAATAATTGGCTAAGTTTTTCATTTTGATATGTGCAATCCAAGTGAAAGATTCTTAAAGATTTCAAATTCAACAAGTTAAAAGATGTGGCAAATCTAAAAACAAAGATGCTTAATTAAAATGCATGTGAAGCAACACCAGAAAAACAAAGAAATTATGTCAAAGAACTAGAACTTTATTTACTCAAAACAGTTCTTTATTGAATAAAACAAATTATACAAGAATCATAACATATCCAGATAGAAAAGTACATCTATAGATGCCTTTCTAATTAGAATTTTGTTTTGCAGCCAGAGCTTGAGGTCAACAGACAGAAAATATTGAAAATTCCACAAGGTAAAAGATGTAGAACTACATGTAAATGGAGGAACAAATCCCTCAGTTGCTCTTCTACTTTCTGTTTATAAGTAAACTTTGTTTACTTTTATTTTGTCGGAAATATTCTGTTACCTAGTTCAATAGGGGTATGCTTAATTAAATACCTTTCCCTAACCAATACAATTTTATTGTGTGGACCTTCAGAAGATCCAAGTTAATACACAGGACAGTCAAACCTGTAAAGTAGATCACATCTGTAAGTGGAACACCCCATTTGAAGAATACATTTCAAATTCTATAATTCTTTCACTTAATGTAGAATGAAACTTAGTATAAGTGGAAACCTCCCGAGTGGAGCACTCTTCTATGACATCACAGGTATTCTACATACACAAGTTTTTCTGTATTTACATATCAAGCAAATTTCTCTATTTCAGCTGTAGTCACCGAACCGTCCACGTTTTCAATCCATGACTATTTACACAAGCATTGCGGTGTCGGGGCAATAGAGACTGTGGGGAGTAGAGCAGCTGCCCAAGTGTGTAGGGATAAAGTAAAGATAGTTACACTTGTAGCTGGTATACGACCTGTCAAGGATCCACTCTTTCTAGTCAAAGCATTTTCAGGTATTGTATTACAAACTTCATTTTTATGTCACCACCAGAAGTGGTGTTAGTATTATTATAGTTTCCAACTTTTTGGTGGCTAGTGTTTGATGGTAAGTGTTTGACATTTGGCATCTGTAATAACTGTTGTTCCAAAAAACCATGACAACTACGTTTGAGATCATTAGGATAGCATATTATTTATTTGTTCTATTCAGAGGATATTCATTTTTACTAAGGGTAAAATGTAAGCTTATTTGTTTATTTCCAGAGTGGCACACTGCAGGACACAAGGACTTCATATTTGTTATTATAGGACCAACAGTAAGCTCTATATATCCTATATAAGTGGTATTTAATCCTTAATCCGAGTGGTTAATTTGCCGAATGGTCACATTTTATCATTTTCCTAATGACAAGAAACTTCCTTTTGGATAATATTAGGCCTATGAAGATAATATTTCTGACATTTAATTTCCTGAACCTGGCAGAAATTAAATAATAGGCAAATTGAATGATAAGGGGAATTTATCACTTATACAGTATTTTATACGTGTATGTTGTATATTATTCAAACAGTTTGTGTACGTGCCTTACTCCAGCGTATAAAACATATTTTTTTGCACCATCCTAAGAGTTATGTGAGACCCCAATGTAACGAGGCTCGGGAATGTATCACATTGCCATATTGTCCAAGGAGGTGTGATTTCGACAAATCCCTCGACTAGAGACTTTTGAAATGCATATTCTGAGTAATCGAAATTCCAATTTTGTTTGCCCAGCTATTATTGCTCCCAGGGTGGAGCGATTGACTCACTAGGTTTCTCCTAGGGTAGGTAGTTTGACATCCTCTATTTTTATTTGTCAAAATCCCAACCCCTATCCAGCATAGGAGTCTCACCTTAAAAGCTCCACATACATGTATATAAATTCGGGAGAATGCATGGTATCCTTAATGACAGTTTAGTTTCGAAATTTTTACTGGGATTACATGTACCCTGCATGCTTAGTCTTGTTATGAACTGCCCTCTGCCTAGTAGAGACTATATTACAGTTTGGCAGCCCCGCCCCCACAGCTGATCCCCGTGACGGCTCGGGTCATAAATCATTTCACACCCACCGCACAGACCAATTCTCAACCAATCAGCAAGCTGGGCGAATTCTGATTAGCGTGATGAGTTCAGAGATGTATTGAAAACTGAAAGAGTGAAGACGAAGCTCTCTTTTGAGAAGCAAAGTCGAACGAATGCAAAGCATAAATTACATGTAAACATTATATTCAATTTCGCGCCCATTGGAGAATGAGTATTATGTCATTTCCAGGAGTTTTTGATACTCAGTTGAGAAACGTCCTTGAAAGATCACTGTGCATAGATGTTTGTGCAAAGAATATATCATAAATGTACATGTAAATTTATCTTTGATGCATGGGGTCTAGGTTTCTACTTTTGCATGACATAGTTTGTATTTATATCTGAAAATATCTTTATTCATTCTTTTACTATTAATATTAGGACAGTAGCCAGGGACAAGTTAGAGGGAAGCATGCTGTTGTCGTGGTAACTAACGGTTTTAAGAACATTTGTGCGCAACTGTATAAGAGTTTCCCATATCTATGTGCCTATTAGCGTTAAAGCACCCCTTAAATCATATTTTCATATACACATAAATGTATTGTAAATGTTAATGTAAGGCATGTAGGGTGGTGGTAACTGCATAGTCAGAGTCCTGGTGCTACAAATGCCAGAACAGGTCAATGGATTCAATTATTGTACAAACATCTTGGCTACCTTCCTCACTGGCCTTGTCTTTCTTCTTTTAAACTCTTCGATTAAACAGTCACAATTCTCTTTGAATAACCGAATTGTCTTACACCAAACCAACTAAAATATACCTCACATACATTAAAACCTGTCAAGTGGAACACGTCTAGAAGTGGTTCACACTTTTCAGAGTCCCAAGACCAAATAGAACACCTCCCAAGTGGAACACTTTTTAGTGGTACCAAAGATGTTCCACTTTGACAGGTTTAACTGTTTAGATTCATCATAAGCTTTCAAGCTGTACTTTAATTAGGTATATACCTCACATATGTAGATTTGTATTCTCTATTCTTCAGCCTTGTGTGTTGCCTCTGGTCTAATGTCTTCTCTGTGCCTCTTAGTAGCTGATATCTTTGCACTTGGGATATCTTAGATTGATCCTGGTATGTTTAATTAAGGGCTTGGAAAACATTAGTTTGATAGTTCAGAAAACTCCTACCTTTCACATGTTCATATCTGCCTTTCTCTTAATAAATAAACACATTTTCATCTTTAAACATGTTGATTTTTCACTTTTAATATGTTTAGACCTTGGCATGAGACATACTTTCTTTTTGTATAACATTATCAGATAATAATCAGGCCTTGCTTGATGTGCTTGTAGATTACAACTAGAGCTATTAGTTTTAGATGTAACTATTAGACTGGGTTAATGTAAATCGCAAGCATTTTATATCGACTACATTTCCTTGAAATGTCTGAAATCTGAATGTAAGACTTGTTTTAAAAGGTTTGCACTATTTTCCAGGAAGATGATAGTTACACATTAAAGTTCAAGAATGAAATAAATCGGTAGGTAAAGTAACTTATTACTCTATATTATCTATACATTAAATGATGTTTATAATTGTTACCAATGGGATTATAATGTATATAGTTCAATGAAATTTCACCTATGAATTTATAATAATCCCAAAATGTTGACATGTAAGGTTTCTCCCTCAACTGAATACATTGATGAAGATTTGTGTATTTAAATAGTGAGGGCAGTTTAAAAATACTGTTGCGGCAGTGGTTTCAAAACCTATTGTAGAGTCTAGTATGATGTAGGAGGGTTGATCATAAAGTTCTCATAATATCTCTCTAATTTCATTATTTTTTAACATTTTCCTATGAAATTCTCACAGAATGTGCAGCACGGAATGTTTTATTAATCCCGCAAAAAATATTAAGAATAAAAGAAACATTAGATAAGAAATTGTTGCCATAGTAACTTGAAATCAAGGCACCCGGGGCAAATAGCTAGAATAGCCCCCATTAACCATGTTTAAATACATGTACATGTAATAAGTTGTCAAATAAGCTATCAGACGCATTAAATTGTCAAATGATATGTACCCTTGACTGTTGTGAACTATTATAATGGTCATGTGAATTGTGTGATCTTATGATGGATGATTGTTATGCTTCATTAGAAGTGACTGTTAGACCTCATGACTGTTTTGTCAAATATCCTGAGGAAAATTGATTTTGCCCCTTTAGTTCATTTTTAACATGTACAGACCACAAACAGGATGTAATTTTGTTGACATCTAAGCAATATATTTGTTTCAGATCATGTTTAGTCTGACCAAAGGATCTTACAAACTTAACATAACATTTTATCAGTATGAATTTTATTTTTCTGAAGATCTCTGCATCTATTGCACTCTCTTACTCAGTCATTTCTGATCATAAGCTTTGAGTCTCAGACTCTAGTATCACATCTAATGAAGCATGAAATCACCCCCTATGACATCACACAATCCACATGATCTTTTTTTTAAAGTAAAAGCACTTAACAACATATTCAAGTTAACATTTTAATGTGTTTGGTAATTTATGGGAGTTTATTATGTGTGTTAACATGGTTAATTAGAGCCATTCTCTCAATTACTTTTATTTGCCCCAGGGGCCTTGATTTTTTGCTCTTACTATGGCAATCATTTCTTATTTAATATTTCTGTTAAATTGCTGAATTAGTAAGATATTCTATGCTGCACATTCTGCGAAAATTTCATTAGAATATATTGAAAAATAAATAAAAGAAATTAGAGAGATATTATGAGAACTTTATGATCAACCCTCGTATATTAAAAAAGTCACTTGTGAATCTACATTTGATTGGAATTTACTAAATGGTACATTGTAGGTCTGAGGGTGTTATCTTTATACCTGGTCTTCTATTTGGTGATACACACGCTACAATACAAGACAGTGTAGTATGTTAATGTCTTGTATTATATTATAGGTCTGAGGGTGTTATCTTTATACCTGGTCTTCTATTTGGTGATACACATGCTACAATACAAGACAGTGTAGTATGTTAATGCCTTGTATTTATATTATAGGTCTGAGGGAGTCATCTTTATACCTGGTCTTCTATTTGGTGATACACACGCTACAATTCAAGACAGTGTAGTATGCTAATGCCTTGTATTTATATTATAGGTCTGAGGGAGTCATCTTTATACCTGGTCTTCTATTTGGTGATACCCATGCTACAATACAAGACAGTGTAGCAGTTGTGAACACTTCCCTAAGTGAAGGAATGTCTGGTGCAGTACTAGAGGCCATGCACCTAGGCACCGCAGTCATAGTTAGAGATATCCCTAGCAACCTTGCCGTGGTGACACACAGACATGATGGTTTGGTTGCCAGTTCACCAAAGGTAAGTGATTTTTTACATCATGGTTTTTCACATTTCTGGCTTACGTGGTGATTTTTCACATTTTTGGCTCACATGGTGATTTTTCCCATTTTTCGCTCACATGTTGAACCCATGGAATAGCAATTATCCCTGTGTCTGTCTTTGTCATTCCAAACAATTGTCGAACATTTCTTCAGACAAATAAAAGTTGCCATTTGTCTGAACCTATGCCCATTTTCATTCTATGGGGCAATTAACACCATTAGTCCCAGCTCCTATTCAAAGAAATAGCTTTTTTATCATGTTTAAGCCCACTGAATGGTCCAATTTTTTATAAATGAATTTTCTAGTTCTATTTAAAGATTTGTAACTTGCATAATTGATCATTACTAGGCCAACACAACGGTTAACCACAATTTGAAAACATTCGCGTTATATAAGGCTCTCATTAAAAATGAGTTTCATATTATTTCTGGTCCTCTGAATACATTACATGCACAGGGCTATAGAACTCATTCCTCGTTCCCTGGGGAGAGAAGAAAGGAGATATTCTGGGTCTTATAGCTCTGTGATTGGAGGATCATTATTTCTCAGTCAAACATTGAGATCATAATTTTAAATAATAGACTTACCAAGCTTTAATTCTGAACTGAAATCAAAGACATCCCTGCTGAAAAGATGGCAATGTTATGACCTTGATGGAACATTAGTGAACTATTTTTGGAAAAATTCAAATATACTTGTTTTACATTTCCAGGAGTTTTTGGATTGTTTGGAGAGCCTCGTGCAGGACACAGAACTCTATAGAATGTTGACTGATAATGCCAGTGCCACCATTGACAAGGTGCATTCCAATGAACAAGAGAAACAGGCCTATGTAGGGATGGTTAAAGACATACTAGCAGACAAATCATCCCACGTTAGGAGTTAATATACTGCTAATTGATTCTGATAGAGAAACAGGCCTATGTAGGGATGGTGAAAGACATTCTAGCAGACAAATCATCCCACGTTAGGAGTTAATATACTGCTTGGGATTCGGATATATCATGAACTGAAGTGGAATACTGGAACATTTTTGATACTCTAAACGTTTAATAACTGGACATAGAACACGGGGAAGAGTGCAATAGGTGTGGTCCTTTAATTATTGTATATCATGTTGAAAGTGTTTGTATTATTAGCGGGTGTTCACATTTTAACATTTTTATGTCTCCACCAACAGTGATGACATATTGTTATAGTGTACAACTTTTTTGTGGACTGTTAATGCCTTGTTTAAGAAGAGAGAAAATAAGAACAGAGAAAGTGTACACATAATAAGGTGTTCAGACACACAGGTTTTATTGTACAAGTATATGTGAGTATGATAATATGATCCTGTTTTGATTTGTTTGTGATGTTTTAGACCCACCATATATATTGAATGCATACAGTTATTGCTCAATTTTCAAATGTGAAAACTATGTTAACTGTAATAATGAGAATCACAATATATTGACTTCTTGGTTTCTAGAAATCCTATGATGGCTGGTATAGATGGCAGGCTGTCGTGTACTTTCTGCTAAATGAAATTTGCATACAAATATTGAAATCCACTTTCATATTCCAACTTTTATATCACTTTTCTCTTCCTGATTCTATTCTGTCATGTACGATTCTATTAATGTATTAATGTATCATATATTTTTATATTTTATTCAAGTATAGTCAATATATAAAGTTGTCACACTAGCTATGTGGGCTCACCGTAGCCACAACACTATGTGGCTAATTTTTGGCATTAATCTTTAAATCAATAACAGGCTTTCATGAATCATTAGGCAATTTTTATTTTGAGTGATGGAGAATATCTTGCAGTCAGACTTTGTTTTGCCCATCGTGTAAACATGCCATTCCCCTCCATTTGCCCCAAAGTATTCACGCAATGGCAAACGTTGAGTCCACACAGCTTAAGTGTGATATCTCCATAAGACATTAAGTCAAGTTTATTGTATTGTGTCAAGAGTTGTCACAATGTTGTTGACTGCTGAACTTGTATTGAGAAACTGTGCAGTTGATATTTATTCATTGTGTGTTTTAAATTCAAGTGTTTAAAAGAAATCCAGAATTATAGATATATTTGCAGATATTTTAGTGTTACTAAGCTGCTTTGATATCTTTGTTAATGGTGTAAAAATAGATATGACAAATGATCACTAAACCATGGAATATTGCTCTTAACCATGGTATATCACACATTATTATATCACTATCTAGCTAGCGACAGTATGATTGGTCAAAACCGGGTCACATGTCGTGGGATATCTGGCGATATTCAATGGCAATGCTAATCAGATAAGACAACCGTGAGATATCTAGCGATATCCCACGCTCCCGGGAATTTTCAAAGAATTTGTCTTCGTTCAGTGTAAATAATTTAGTTCAGTGTAAGTCAATATGGCAGACGAACCGAGTAGATTCAATGTATTTCAATGTTAACCTATGACTTAATAATATTAGGGATGTTTAGCTAGACAGTGATATACAGTAAAACCTGTCTAATCCGAACACCCATGGGACCAGCCAAAAGCGTTCAAATTGGCAGGTGTTCAAATTTCGAGGATATTGTTGGTCGGGGGGAGGGATTTTTATTGTTCAGTCCACTATATTGAACACTTAATACTTAGTCAGAAAACAATACATGTTGTTGATGAGTTTATTCTACAATAGGCTTATAGCCTACATGTATATGCTATATTTTATTTACATTTTGAACAATTTCATTATTTTTGGAAAAATAACTTTTTAATTTTGGCAAAAACTTTGTAATACACTGAATAAGTATATCAAAATATCAAGGGCATTCAGGATGTCAGATGTGTTTTTTTAGGAGGCATTTTAGTGATAGGATATTACGAAGTTGAATTTTTTCTCTTTCTCGTGATATAATCTTGTCTGCAAATGTGTCTGTGTTGTCTTTGTGATTATAAAACATTTACTGATTGAATCCTAGCTATCATAACAGACCCATGGAATATAAAACAGTTAATAATCCAAATCAAAAACATCCAGTTAATTTAAAATAAGGATAAACCAATTATCTCCCAGATTCTCACCTTTCTCTTAATCCAAATCAAAAACATCCAGGTAATTCCTAATAATGATAAAACAATTATAATCTTGTCTGCAAATGTGTCTGTGTTGTCTCTGTGATTATAAAACATTTACTGATTGAATCCTAGCTATCATAACAGACCCATGGGATATAAAACAGTAAAGACTTGTTCATAATCCAAATCAAAAACATCCAATTAATTTAAAATAAGGATAAACCAATTATCTTCTTGATTCACACCTTTCTCTTAATCCAAATCAAAAACATCCAGGTAATTTCTAATAATGATAAAAGAATTATAATCTTGTCTGCAAATGTGTCTGTGTTGTCTCTGTGATTATAAAACATTTACTGATTGAATCCTAGCTATCATAACAGACCCATGGGATATAAAACAGTTAAGACTTGTTCATAAGCCAAATCAAAAACATCCACGTTAATTTAAAATATTGATAAACCAATTATCTCACAGATTCTCACCTTTCTCTTAATCCAAAATAAAACATTCAGTTCTTTTCTAATAGGATAAACCAATTAACTCCTGTATTCACACCTTTCCAAATCATCCTGTTGTTCTCCACAATTAAGGATGTCATTGAGACTTAAATAAGTTAATTAGGACAATATTGGTTCTTTGATTACATTGCATATGTAAAGATATATAACAACTATAACATTGACACAATATGTGGCTTTAATTGAAATGTCCAGACATTTGATTTCTGATAAAATGTTCAGATTAGACAGGTCAGTTTTTCAAATCTGGTTGTTCACTGTTCAGATTAGGAGGTGTTCAGATTTCAAGGTTTTTTTAACATGGGAGTCAATGGGAGGAAAAAATGGGACCGAAAAAAAGTGTTCAAATTGGAAGGTGTTCGGATTAGCCAGGTGTTCAGATATACAGGTTTTACTGTAATAAAACAAATGTTTCACTCCATTTTCGGTGAATACCTGTAATATCACTTGTGAAAGATGTACAGGTATTCACCTCAATAGAGTGAAATATTTGTTCAATATCCAATGGTGAGCATAATTGTGCTGCTTGACAAAACAAGGCTGATGGTAAAATTTGCCTACCACCCATTTGGAAAGTTAGACTTAGAACATGAAAAGCACCATTTTATTATGAAATAAAAAGAACATCCCATGATATACTCGTGATATGATTTTTACCCAGTTATGGATTAATTATCTCAGTCTCACTCTCTGTATGCTGACATCTGCAGATATCATATCCGTTGGTGGATAAAAATCATCATATCACTCATAAGTCATTGTATATCCTCTATTTATTCAGTATTTATCACAAAATAGTCATTACTAAATAGATACAAAGCATATCAATCAACCTAGGACAAAAATACATTTTACATACTGAATAACTCCAATAATAATGAGATGAATTGTCAGTTTACTTGATAATTCAAATTCAGTTGTTGCAGACATATCCACTCGTTTGCTATGTATTTAAACAATGCAAAGATACCAAATATAATTTAAATTGAATTGAAGAAAACTATCTTTATCAGTTTTGTTTAGTTTATTATGTCACCACCACAAGTCATGTGGGGACATATTGTTATAGTCTCAAACTTTTTGTAGATGGTGTTGAGTGGTTGGTGTTTGACAGTTGGTATTCGGTGTCTGTAACAAATGGAAGGTGGTGACATGTTATGCCTTGTTTCTGTTTATTATGTAGTTCACCACATGTACATACATCCAGGGATTAGTGTATTTCTTCAACTCATAACCAGACCTCTAGTCAGCTTTTGCCGTTTCGTCTTGGAAATATTCCACAGGGCTCAAATTCTGGCCCAAAATCACTTGAAATGTGCTCAAAGTGGTGAAATGGTGCATGATTTTGAAATAATTTTTGGTCAGGGGGTTGCTATGACGTGATATTCCATAGCATGCTTGTGACACAATAGTCCAATAAGACAAAACAGTTTGGGATGTATAGGAGACATCATTTATTACACATAACAAACAGGGGAAAGGATGAGTACAGGCTTGAGTATCATCAAACAATGTTGCAGTGACATATTCAAACAATGTTGCAGTGACACATATTCAAACAATGTTGCAGTGACACATATTCAAACGATGTTGCAGTGACACATATTCAAACAATGTTGCAGTGACACATATTCAAACAATGTTGCTGTGACACATATTCAAACAATGTTGCAGTGACACATATTCAAACAATGTTGCAGTGACACATATTCAAACAATGTTGCAGTGACACATATTCAAACAATGTTGCAGTGACACATATTCAGTGTGTATTTATAAACACATACATATTTTCTTTCATATTTTTACAAAATTACATCAAAGACACAGTACATAGTCATAGAAAAATAATAAATACAGTACATATAGATAAGTCATCACTATGCCATTGCTATGACCAGAAGTCAATAAATCACACTTAATATAATTATCCTATTAGGGAAGTTGAGTGATACATTTTCAAGATAACTTGTACGTGAAGTGTAATATAATGACCCCAAGGGACTACTGTCCCCTTTCATTTTGTTTTTCCAGGGAGTTAATTACAACTTTTTCATCATACTTGTATTATGCTCAATCAGCCATGTAAATACTAAATACTACTAATGGGAGAACTTATCCCTGAAGAACCATAATTCTACACCTTCAAAGGTTCACTATAAATATATAGCTTAACCTCCCTGTTATTTCATTGAGTGCAAATAAATTAAGAAATTATGTTTAGACATACAGGTTGTACATTAAGTCTCTCGAATTGTATATACTGTGAGGACACCCTGTACATAAAAGAATATACCACTTGACAAGTCTTTACTGTCCTGCAATTTCCCTATATTATTTCTGAATTGGTAAAAGTTAATAATTTTAAAAATAGACAGATAATTGTCACCTCATTAGCTCTTATTCCAGTATTTAAATCACATTAAATGCATACAATAAATGTAACATATACAATGCAAGTATATAGGACAACAATAAAAGTTACATCATTAGCTTTTCAAAATTAAGAAATTATTTTTACATTTTAAAATTTTAAATAATCATTACTATAATTTGCACACAAATGCACATATATAAAGAATCTCAGCAGCTTTTGATGATTGTACGACATGTAAAATGTTTTTTATTTTAATTTTAAGAGATGCCAAAGAATACAGATGGGATGGCTAAAATAATCAATATATAGTTATTAAATTATATGTATCAAAGTAAAAATCTAGTCAACAATGTATGATAAACACAGCAAATTCACATCCACATGGAACCCATGTCACAAGGATCCATTTGGAATCCATGAGGAATCTGCATGAAATCACGGATGATTTTAGGCATGTGGATTCATGTGGATCACATTGGGGGTGTAACTAAGTATTTTATATATTTATTCATACATATAACGGTAAACCCATATAACAGCCTCATAATTGTTTTTAGAACAATTGTTGAATTGTTAGCTTAAGCTTTGTGTTTCACATACTGCTACTTGGTTACAAATACTTTCTTGCCTTTTTTGATGTTATCAATTTATTTCAAATATTATAAATTAAATTAAAATAAGTTAACTGCCAAATAACAATAAGTTAACTGCCAAGTAACAATAAGTTAACTGCCAAGTTACAATAAGTCAACTGCCAAGTTACAATAAGTTAACTGCCAAGTGACAATAAGTTAACTGCCAAGTGACAATAAGTTAACTGCCAAATTACAATAAGTTAACTGCCAAGTGACAATAAGTTAACTGCCAACTTACAATAAGTTAATTGCAAAGTTACAATAAGTTAACTTTTTTGCCTCATTATGTTATGTGACTTACTTTGCAATATTACTCACAAAGATGCAATGTATAGAGGAAGTTTAGTACAATATACATTTTTTATTGTACTTTGTGTGTCAGAAAATTGTAAGTGAATTAAAACATTGACTTTATATATTTACATAAAGCACCACATTTTATAATGTAATTAATGTATCAGCACTTTCATAATGAACAAATATTTGAGTACAATATTTAGTATATTACTAATATACAATAATAATAGTATTCTTATAATTTTCATATTTAGTGCCTGTAGTTGTTATTCAAAAGTTAAAGATATACATTTATGTATATACTAGAACTATTATGCAATTTTTGTAGTTTTAAAGTAGTGATTTTAAATCACCAGGCTATAGAGCTATATTTTTGCAATTCCCAATTATATCCTCCTTTACGTAGTCCTTCAATATCTGCCATTCTTAATTTCTTTCTTTAATCTCTGCCATTGTCCATCATTCCCTTTATTTAGTACTATAATTTTTGCCTTTCTCCACCCTACAAGTCATGCAAGTAGATTTTTATAATATATGCCATTCTTTATGTTCTTCATTCTATTGACCTACTATTCCAGTATAATCTCTGTCACTTCCTTTAATACAGTGTCAAAATTTCTGCCATTGTCCAGTGTATGGTAGTAGTAACCATTCTCCAGTCTAAAGTACTAAAATTTATGGCATTCTCCCATCTACAGTACTAAGATTTATGCCATTCTTCTAAAATTTAGGCCATTCTCCATTCTATAGTACTAAGATTTATCCATTCTATAGCACTATAATCTCAGCCATGTGTTTTTGTCTTCGTCTAAGTCGTAACTCTACTATGGTATATAATCCCAGAGATATAACCATTACAGCACACATAATTAGCACCTGAAAATTAGCAATTACAGCACATATAATTTGCACCTCAAAATAGCGATTACAGCACACATATAACTAACACCTGAAAATAGTGATAAGAGCACACATAATTAGCACCTGGAAATATCAATTACAGCACACATAATTAGCACCTGAAAATAGTAATTACATCACACATAATTAGCTCCTGAAAATAGCATTACAGCACACATAATTAGCACCTGAAAATAGTAATTACATCACACATAATTAGCTCCTGAAAATAGCAATTACAGCACACATAATTAGCACCTGAAAATAGCAATCACAGCATACATAATTAGCACCTGAAAATAGCAATTACAGCACACATAATTAGCACCTGAAAATAGCAATTACAGCACACATAATTAGCACCTGAAAATAGTAATTACATCACACATAATTAGCTCCTGAAAATAGCAATTACAGCACACATAATTAGCACATGAAAATAGCAATTACAGAACACATAATTAGCACATGAAAATAGCAATTACAGCACACATAAATAGGACCTGGAAACAGTCATTATCCAATATCTCAAATGTCATCTATAACAGGTAATAATGGGAGCACTAATGAGGACTAATAAATAAGTAACTGACTGAGAAAGAAAATGTTCATATGTTTATCATATACAGTAAAACCTGTCTTAGTGAACACATTTCTCTAGTGAAAACCTGTCTCAAGTGACCGCCCTTCCTCGGCACATACTCTTTTAAATTACCCTCTCCAGTAAACATCTAAAACACTGAATTTTTGTCTGTTCAATATACACAGGTCTTACTGTATATACAGAACACCCTCCCCTCCTCCTTTCATTAAACCTTAAAGTATTTTATACTACAATTCCCACTCAACTTCCCACTTTCCATTTCTTTTTAACAAAACCTGACTTCCCCCCCCCCAACATTATTAGTTTTGTGGTAAGACAATCATTGTGGGCTAACCATTTGCAAAACCTCACTTTCAATTCTAGAAATTGCACAAATGCGGGAGATAAAATAAAAATTCAGTATAAGTAAAGTATGATTTTCAAATGTATTCAAACTTTTTAATATTTGGATACATGTAATGTACACATAGGATGCAATCAATTTAAAACATTATTCTCTAATATTTGGTGAGTTATGCTCATATCTGTGATGTACATAAAAATTTGTTACAGACACAGCAAAACAATATATCTGTTAGTACCAAATCATAAGGAATACTAGCAATATTTAATATGTTTTTACCTTAGTTCGCACACAGAGGAAGTAGCTATAGCCAAAGGCTGTGGCAAGGCCAATAGCTTGGAACATGCGATAGTTTGAGAAGGCCGCCTCTTGGTCGTCAGGGAATAAAACACCAAATAAAGCTGCAAATATTAAAACAAATGTTAAACATATGACCTTTATAAAAAACTTTTAAAATTGTAGGCTGTTATCTTTCAATAACACATGTATTTTGGTATACTCCTAGTATTGGAAACAACCAATGAGACAACATGTCCTTGACTTCAAATGACCTGTACATATAATAATGGTCACATAACCTTGACCTCAATTGACCTTCAAATATGATAATGGCCATGCACATGTATATCCAGTTAAATCATTCCCTGAACTCTCTAAGAGAGGTACCAATTCTTTAAATTAATTGTGGGTTTCATTAGTTTCATTGTTCATCCCATCAGCAACAAACTACATTGAATACTATCATAGGGAAACCGGCTATATAAAATTTGATTGAATAAATGCATGCCATTTTTAAGAGGAGTATTCTGAAGAATTGTTTCCTATATAATGGAATTCCGGAAAAACAAATTACATAATTGGCTTGGTCTGACGTCAAAACTTATATGATGTAGAATGCATCATATCTTTTGATATTTCCAGCCTCTGAAGCAATCAGACAATCAATATTAACTCATTTAAGAAGTGATGTTGAGCCAATGACCCCTAAAATCCAAGTAATAACTCCATGAACATGATGAAGAGCGACAACATATTATTTTTGATAGCCCCTAGAAAATTGCCAGCACTCTGTAATCACTAGGATCAAGTGTATATAATCAGCTTATATTGGAGTTTCTCTCCCTAGTCATGGTTATTTGCCAGATGAAATATACTGTTATGAAGAGTTGAAAACAGTCAGAGAGTTTTGTTTGATTTCTTTTTGATATATTCTATTTCTCTCCATTTATTCATAAAATAATAATTTATACAGAAAAGCTCAAAATGTTATTTGGGGATTTAAGGACAGTACATATATGGTACTTTTAGCCTTTAAGGATTTAAGTACAGTACATATATGGTACTTTTAGCCTTTAAGGATTTAAGTACAGCATAAATATAGTACTTTTATCTTTTAACCCTTTCCCAACGTGAATATAAGAGGAAAATGTTGGCCTGGTGACGGATAAGTAAGAGCGGTTTTTAGGGGAAAACTGCAAATTACTTATTCCCGGGACCTATACTTTAAATTGTGTTACTATAATACAACTTGTAATAAGAATTATCACATTTCTAAAACTTGGCAAAATTTGGTGTAGAAATACTGAATAGAACGAGAGATACCTGTATTGTCATTTCATTGATGTATATAAATAAAAATAATGGTGCCAAAAGGATCCTAACTTCCTCAAAGGTATTATGTAATAGGCTTTGGAGCCTATCGTCGTGAACGGGTTAAGGATTTAAGTACAGTATATATGGTACTTTCAGCCTTTAAGGATTTAAGTACAGTAAGTACTTTTAGCCTTTAAGGATTTAAGTATTGTACAAATATAGTACTTTTGGCCTCTAACAAATTGGGATTTGAAAATAACTAAACTAATTGTGCTGAGCATTAAAAACGTGTAATCTGATTACCTAAACACCAAATCCTGAAAATAATGTTAGAAAAGGAATTACTCAAAATAACAAGGAGTGCTTTCTAGTTTATTCATTTAACATTGTTGTAGTAGTCATAGTTATGTAGCCTAGATAAGTATTCCAAAAACAGAAGTGACAGATTGGAGTCAATTCAAAGGCTAAAAGGTTGTATGTCTCAATATATTTCAAGATAATCAGATAATCAAAATGAAAGCCTTCAGTATTAGTCAGTAGAGACTGAGTTACTTCAATTGCCTCATCTAATGTTATTACATTGTATTGGGGGAATATTTATTTATTACTAAATGATGGGTTGTAATTCTTGCCTAATCCAATCATGTCCAGGATCAATACATTCATGTAGAGAAACTAAGAAAGTACAATTTGGAAATGGTGTAATTTATAGAAGATTTTTCAGATCTGACAGATTACAGATTAGGGGTCACTTGGAGGAGTTATTGAATATGGGATTTATCATCCTTAGTGGTGTCCCTTTGGGAGACAAAGAAATGGATACATGTTTTTGCCACTTAATGATATATTTCCCTGTGGCAATACATTTCCAATCCTTATCACATACATGTAATTATATAATTCCTTAAAATTACCCCAAAGCACATATTCCATGTTGGTATTTCCATGTAGAAACATAATTATTTGCATTTATTATCACAAATGTATTCCCTGAAAATTGCCCTTAACTACCATTTTTCTACGTGGAAACATATTTGCATTTATTATCACAAAATTTAAATTGTCCAATGATATTACAGAAAGATGTTTTGGAGGATTGATTTTTATTTACAGAGACTAATTAAATATTACACTCTAAATATGTGGTTCAGCTGATGGGAGTCAGAATTTTTTCATTGATCCTACTTTTCAGAGGTTAATGGATAAGAGGAAAGAAGCAATTAAGAAGACAATATCATTCTAAGGCGTGGTCTTAAAGATAATGGAACTTGAGTAATTTTATAGCACCTCAAGGATGTGCCTAGTATACTACAAATTCTATATGCAATATGCTATGCTAGATACTACTGATTTTGATTCAAATATCACTTTTTTTTCTTTTCAATGCGCAATATTGTAGTCTGTAGATTTAAACTATGAAATATGATTATATAAATGATCCATGCCATATGAAAACACCATTAAGATATAACTGTGCATACATTCTAACATGATACATGTGAATAAGGCATTACTCCGACTACAAGTGAAATATTAAGTATTTTGGAAGAAATTGATCTAATGTCAGAGATCGACAGAAAAGCTACTTTACAGTGGATCATAAGAGGCCAGGGGCTCTTAAAGCAAGTGCTCAATAGTCTAGGATTGTACTTAGGGAAGTGTCTTAAGCATATGAAACAAAGCCTTCTCAGAAATCCATTCTACAAGACCTTCATCAATTATTGTCAATTTCCTTTCACAATTATTGCCTAAAAAGTGAAGTGTGAAAATTATACCGATTTATTTATGTCCAATTTCCTCAAACACTCTATTGCAGACCTTGTTATTTAACACATCACACAACCTTGTTTAAGTCTAATATTACCGCAACTTTTAATGTAAACCCATGGTGTGTTTAAATGGCAATGAACAACCATATTTAGAGTGTCATTTAGTTTCACATTTTCCACCCGATTTACACATAACAATATGTGCTTGTTCTATACAAGAATATGCAAGGGTTGTCTTGGGGAAAGGTCCTCATATTTCTTCCTTCCTTGGAGAGATTGTGGCAGTTAATCTCATAGGCTCACAGTAAAGCTTTACTTGTAATCCATTATACAAGCTACTGTCAGATGATTTGCATTTATTTTGTAGACTACATTATCCCCATGGTGATTTAATGTTTTAACATTGTTTACTGCACATTGATACAAAATGAACAGTCTTTCTTTGATTCTATTTGTTCATGTTGTCTATTAGATGTTATTTAGTACTATTGTGTTGAAATAAACATAACATATATTTCCAATACCTTTTCAAAATCCTCTATATAGGTTTAAATGCTGCTATGTGCATTGCATGTATTTTACTAGAGGTTCAAATGTTTGTATGCGCAGATGTATGTATTTTATTATAGGTTTAAAATAAATGTCCAGAAGCCTATTTGTATGTATTTTACTAGAGGTACAAATGTTTAAAGTTAGCTCTACGTACAGATGTATGTATTTCATTATAGGCTCAAATGTTCAAAGGCATCTATGTACAGATGTATATACTTTATTAGAGGTTCAAATGTTCAAAAGCCTCTTATTCTATTAGAGGTTCAAATGTTCCGAAGCCTCTTTTGATTTAATATAGGTTCAGAAGTTGAGATTGAATATAATTATCAGGAACAAACATTTCAGATGACACCATCAGCTTAATTGAACCAAGCAGTCCCCTCCTGATAATTCTAAATGTAACTAGAGAACTTGCAATTATTAAAAACACGTCAGGAACTTATCAATCAACACTTATGTGGCACTATAAGGCTTCATTTACAATAAATTGAAGTTGTTCTAACACTTAGTCATTGGTTTTACTCAGAAATAGGAGTGCCACTGGGATTGGCTTTGTAGACCTATTAGTCATTGAAATGCATTTAATGGTCTTGAATGTCACTATGTGTTAACGGGAAGAATTGTCCTATCATCAATAAGTCACAGAAAAGTGAACTAGAATCTAAGAAATGGAAATGAGATTAAAGGAGAACAAGTGAAAAATGTATGGCACATACTTTCTAAATGTTAGAATAAAATAAATGTCAACTATTTTTCTTGGGACGGTGCGGATTCATTTCTTTATGACAGCTATTTTTTCTGTCTGTGTTTTTCAATACTTTTTGGCTTTTAATCTACTCTATAGCTCCTTTGCTTACATATTACATGAATATATAAGCACAAGTGCCAACGGGAAAGGACCAAAAGTTGTAATGGAACTTAGCAAGAAAAAGCAAACTCAAAGTGTATACCAGTCAAGAAAAACAAACCCCATATAGCCCAAAACCATGATCTAACGTGAAAGTCTATTTATTTTTATTTTGAAACTGCACTTTTAAAACAGAAGTTATATGGTACTATTTTGACTTTTCAAATCTAAATTAGAAGTGGAGAAAACGTGGCAATGACCTAGCTCTTTTCATTCCCATGACTAGCTTTTCTGACTGATTCTTTTAATGACCTTAACATTCTTCAAAAAATATGTTTATCAGTATCTTATATAATCGTTACCAATAATGGTTACAATTTACATACAGGTACCTATGGTAGACTGACTCTGGGTTGAAATTGATATTGTCTGTTGTTTTTGCCTGTATTACATCAAAGAAGGCTATCTTAAATATAACTGAGTCAGTCTTAAATAAAAAAAAATGTCGATTTATTAAGTTCTTCCACTGTGTACTGAGTAAAAGAAATAATGGCTTGTGCTGTTGAGGATTCCTATTGGAATGTACAAGTGGCAATTAAACACACCTTAAGAGATTGTTACGCATATTGTGGTTGTATTTTAGAAAGAACTATTGACAAATGAGGTGATTACGGAACTATATTATAAATCTGTCTTCCTGATTTATGAATCCCATCACAGATATAACACAGAAAGCTTAATAATTCAAAAACATTCATTATAACATGCCAAAGTCTATTGAAAAACATATTTATCAGGATGTAACAAGCGTTTCTAGTGTTGAATAACAACTTCAAGAAAATTCTGTCATTGGGAAAATTATGAGAATAAATCGCACTTTAAAAACCAGACCGGATATCAGAGACAGTGATTATATCTGAAAAATTGCTATTTCATGATCTGTTCATCTGAGCATTGATTCCCCTTTAGGTTTACAAATATCGGGAATGTAAATTGGCATTAAGATTCTGGACCAATGTTGTTTTGTGAATGAAATGGGTTAAGATCTATTCTGCTGTCACTTGATATGGAAATTGGCAAGAAATAAAGATAGCTGTTTGATTTATTGCATTCTATTTTTGATGGGGATCGGATAAAGACTGTCATGCTTCAAGATGGGCAAGAAAATGGACAATTGCCAGATGCAAGTGGTTAGTTCAAGGCATGGTCATTAAATCAAGCGGTAGGTGAGGTGAGTGATGAGGCAAATTTGAGTTAAATTCACACGTAATACTGTCAAAGGACTTCAATTTCGCAGTTTCAATCAAGTAACATCTGAACTTAGATTTTTCTTTCAAATTTGAGTTAACCTACACATGTAATACTGTCAAAGGACTTCAATTTCGCAGTTTCAATCAAGTAACATCTGAACTTAGATTTTTCTTTCATATTTTGTTGAGGCAATTGCCTCGTTTGCCTCATGCCTGGCTATGTCCATGTTACATAGTTACCAGTTTCACCAACAAGAGGCAAACTATAAAATCTCATTGTCAAAATGTGATCTCAGAACCATTATACTGCACCACGAGAACACAGTGATTGATATAACTGACGCATATTGAGGATCTCATGTCTTTCATTAATCAAATGCACCAGAGTCCCTAAAGGGCTTTTAACTCAAATCGCCCACTTCTTCATCATTAAAACCATCCATTCACAATTTCCATGTATAATGTTAAAGATATAGCATCACAGAAGTAATAATGTTACAGCATACAAAACAAAAAGATATTTTGCCTGGGGTTTCATTAACTTGTGCTTTACTAATACAATTAACTTAATCAACAAGGGGAGGTATTTTGTCCAGACATGTCTGAAGGGTATAAGTAAAGGTGGATTAAATCTGAAGAATTGAGCACTGTTATCTTAATACCTTTGAGTCAGCCCTCTTTCATAAATATTTAAGTTATTGCCAAATGAGGGAAGACAAAAGAGTCTTACAAATATCTAAGCATAAATGCCAAAGGGAAAGGACCAAAAACTGTAAAGGAACTTATCAAGAAAATCGAAATCTAAGTGAGCCTGTCAAAAGAAAAAATAGGCCCTATATATCACAAAACCATGATCTAACGTGAAAAGAAATAATGTCAAACACCACCCTCCCCTCCAATTTAGAATTCTCATTTAAAACCCAGTAAGAAAAAAACATCCACTCATATGAAAAGCAACCTCTTGAAGAAAGATTTTAAAGGAGTTCACCACACAAGACGATGACATCTTTTATACGGATGTATGGACATCTCTATCCTCGGTCTTCCCAAAGGAAGAATCTGGCTTTCAACCATTGTTTTTTAAAAAATATTTTTGACATTATATAACATGGCAAATGGTAAAATGTAGAGTGAAACCTGTGTTTACGGAACACACCAGTACTTGCCAAAGTTGTTCCTTTTAGACAGGTTTTCCTTGCAGAGAGGGTTCATAAACATGTTAATCAATGGGACTTGGTTCTTTTAAGACCAGTTGCATATAAAAAGGCATTCGTTACACAAAAGTGATCTATCATGTAGGTTTCACATGAGATATCCTAATTCAAATATACTATAAGAAAATAAAAAGTGGATCATGTGTATTATCCTTTGCAGTACTTGTACTATTTAAAAATAAAATGTTCTTTGCTAACCTTAATGAAAAAAGATTGCTTCATATTTGTAGCCTCAAATAATTAGAAAGATCGGCTTTTCACTTAAAATCTACTGCTTGATTGGATTCCTCTCATCAATTCACCTCAATGACAACATTGAACCAGAATATCAAATAAAAATGCCTCGAGTTACATGACTATAAACTGATTACGTCAATTTTTCTTATTCTTATTTCTCAATACTATTTCAGGCCTGAATGCGCTACATGTAGGCCTACCTATTGTGAAAGGGATATGGCATTACATTTTAAAGCTTCAATAGAAAACAGTAATTAATGCATTTAATTATTCATAGAGAATCCCGTAAGGCAGATGTTAACCTGTGTAAAGAATATCAGATTTATTGTTCAAACAACAGGGAATATGGCAAAACAGCATGATAATGTTAGAATCAAAATGAAAATTTCAATACAAGTATACATTTTCTTGGATTCGACATACATACATTTATCAAGTTTGTTGGCGTTGATGAGACATTCTCAAATAGGTTTGAAGAGTTTGTGGGAATACAACGGGATGACATTAAATATTTTTCCTACTTTCTCTGATGTAAACCTAAGTGGGCTTACACACTTAGATGAACCCAAGGGTATTATGGTAAAAAAAACACCATTAGCAGAATCCTTAATATTTACGTAATAAGCCATGTCTAATTTCTCAAATGTAACAATTTTATTTAACAGTGAAATGGTGAATGGTGAAAAAAATGTTCAAACAGAAAATAGAGAGGTTAAGCTACCATATAAAATCGAAACAAAAACCTGTACGTATTAATCGCCCATATACAAATGCATGTAGCGTTCTCACATAAATAGCCGCTCAGATCCAGTGTTTGTTTAGACTACACCATAGCGTATAATGATTCTATAGTATGCCATTGGTGAAGTACTATAGCTGGTTTTCTTATACATATTTTAAACAAGCTTGTTTCATTTCGAACAGAGTATATTGGTTCCCGTTGACACCAACGTCTTTCAAATCTCCCATTCTAAACACAAAGCTCTGAAGCTGAAAGAGTATCTGAAGTAGACTAAAGAGCATATAAAACTATGCGTGCCCGATATATTCCTTTGTTAATTCATGTACTTTCTGTTCATGGTTATGTTGTGAAATATTGCTAGCTTAACATCTCTAATGATTTAGAGAACGCAAAATTATTTGAGGCACAACCAGTACATTTCTACCCCTTTATATGCTAACATTATGTAAGATGTATGTGGTGTGATTTGTGTTTATTACTGTAACATTTACGCTGTTAACTTGATTAAAAGTGTTAATATGTCGCAAATCATAAAAGCTGCTGATGGATTGAAAGAAGCTGTCTATGGTTCTTAAACTTTGAAGTGGCATAATACTATACATTTGAATTTCAATCTATTCAAAAAATCTACTTTAGTAATATACAGAAGGTAATTGATTGTCTTTTTTGAAATGAATCAATCTTTGAACTAATAGATATCTATTTTGATGAAGTGCTGCAAGTATTCCAAAATAGACCAAATAAAGATACATATACTAATTGCTAATACTATCGCTAATTGCATTGCTTAGGCCCTTGCTCTGTATGTAACATGGTTTTGATTAATATGATAATAAAAACCTTCAACCTAAAATACATATACCAATAAAATCTGTGCAAATGGAATTACAGGTGGTACCACAAAATGTGTTCCACTTTAGAGGTGTTCCACTTACAGAGGTTCATGTTACATTAAGTTGAAGGGTAACTGAGCTTGGGGTAACTGAAAATTGTTCCACTTATGGAGCTGTTCAACTTACGAGATGTGTTTCGCTGTACAGGTTTATCGTAATTTATCATATTACTTAATACTTACTGTTTGTTTGCGTCACCCAGATGGCGTCACAAATCCCAAGACATGACACTACCACGTAGAACATGATGATATCGTCAATGCTCGGCACCCAGAGTAACAGGACAATTAACAGTCCCGCAGTGAATATCGCCCCGGAGAGCATGATGCAGTAACGCTTGATTTGTCTTGACAGGAAGCCAATAAGGAAACAGCTGAGTGCATTGACGGTTCCAAAGCACGTCATGATGAAGCCAACATTATGCAGGCCCAATGGACAGTTAACATATGCCTAGAAAAAGAGAAAGAATCCAATGAAATACAGCAAATCAATATGGAAACGGAAATGTCATGTGAGCCCAACGGACAGTTGACATATACCTGGAATAAGAGATAAAATCCTCTTACCAAATATACGGCAATTAATACTAGAAAGGAAATGTCAATAACTTTTTTCCTGTTAACCTAAATTAAGTTATCAATTTTTATGACATATTAACAGATTAATGATAGATAGGAGAAGTCTTATTCAAATAGGCATGTCAGGATATACCCATCATCTCTTAGCAAATCTCTTCTAGCCAAAATGGCATAATATAAAAGTAAGAAATCATTCTATATGAATCTTGTTTATGCATCTGAAAAGACAATGCACAAAAAAAAACTCAAAACAATACAAATCATACTTTATCTTATTATTCCATAAAAATTCCATAAATTAGGCTGTGCAAATACTTAATCTGTTTCCAAAATTCTTTTAATCCACATGATGCTTCTGTCAATCATTAGGCAAGCCACAAAGGCTCCAACAAAATTTATTAATTAATATATAAGAATAATGTAATAGTCTATGTATGTAAATATGTAAACATCTATTTACACGCAAAAACAATTAGCATTACAAAATGTCACCACATGTTATTAATTATAAAAAATGCAATTTGTTATGGAGGCCACCTGCTGAATGCAAGTCTTTATAAATGCAAGTCACTATAAACGAAAGCTTCTTGGTACATGAAAATTAAAAAAATAAGATTTTCTCTGAAGCAAGTTATGAAAATATTAATAACAATTGATGATGATACATTGCCTTGAGTTTCTATATGCACAATGATAAAAGCAGTTTCTTCATGATCAATCAACTTCTATCTTTTAAGTAAATGGATTAACAATGATTAGCTACTTTTACAAGATAACACACAGAAACGGCCCATTTTTCAAGATACTCCCTCATTGTAATGGTTACGAAGTTTGCAAGATTTCTACATTAGGCCTTATCTCTAACATAAATGAGAAAGTAATGATTAGAATACATATAAATAGTTTGCCAGTAGAACAATCTGAGATAAAGTTGACCTTTCATGGAACTGAAATGATATGTTCCAGTAATATAGAGTGAAGTATTAGGCGCCATCTCATGATTCTCAATATGTTCTATGTGTAACTAAATTTGTTATGTGGGTGGCTGTTAATAGACAGATAGATAGATGATATTTATATTGCGGTAACTCAAAAGTGAGAAAAACATTTTTTACCCAATTGTTCTATTTTATATTCGCAATACATTTGTTTCGTTGAAAAGAGTGCATGGCTAGTTTGGCTATTAACAAAAAGAACAGAATGGAACATTTGAGATGATCCCCGAAGAGGATATCATAGTGTCAATATTATCATTACAGTTTTTTAATTGCAACAGGAAATCCTTAGGTATAAACTGTAAAAACATTAACTAGATTTTTGGTCCCGTTTCTTCCAAATGTAAAGATACGTGAAAGTAAAAATGAGGGAATGGGTATTTTTGCAGCATTTGGCTGAATACCATGTCATGTTTCCTTATTAGCCATCGATCCACTTTATGGTACAGGGCATGTTCTATATAATCTTATAAGATAAGGATTTCAATATTGCTAGACAACTGCTCATCACTTATTGCCCGAAGGTAAAAATTGGAATGTGACAAGCAATTACTGTCTAGAGGAAGGCAATTAACCTTATGGTCAAAAACAATGTACAATCAGTTATGAGATGTCAGCATATGATGTCAAAAATAATGTACAATCAGTTTTGAGATGTCAGTATATGATGTCAAAAACAATGTACAATCAGTTTTGAGATGTCAGTATATAATGTCAAAAACAATGTACAATAAGTTATGAGATGTCAGCATATGTTGACAGACATGTGATATCAAACATTTAGACCAAGACTTTTTCTTCATGTTTACTAGAAATTGATCTATCCTAAGCTTCCCTCCATAAGTTTGGCAACTGAGAAGTTTTCATCGGATAGCATATAAAAATCTTGTTCCTTAATAACAATATACTTTGATATGTTATCCAAAAGCACATCCAGCTGCGAAACTTACAGAGGGGAGTGTGCAGAATGGATGAATGATTCAATAGAGCATTCCACAAAAATGTTGAATATCCCTGCACCAGGCAAAACTACATACAAAAGCATCATACAACAAGACAACAAGGCATATCATCACTGAAATTCAAAAATGTCCACCTTAAAATTTACCCAGCATACACCAAAAATGAATCACTAGATTTCCTATATATCTCGCAGCTTGTCTGCTAATGCGCAGACAAAAAACTGAGATGTCACCACCTACATGACTGTATAGCTGTAACTACCCTGGATAATGATCCACTATAGGCTAATGACAATGCTATTTGAGATTATGATGATGACAAGAAAAATTAAATTCTTTGACATTTTGGCATTTTGAGAATCCATAGACAATTAAGGTAACATGAGTAGGAGTAATCTGGCTAATGTTCTTGAATATTTGCATATAAATTTACCATAAACAAAAATCTTCCCACAAAACACCACCCACCTTAACAGTAACATGACAAGCACCAACCCCATCAACATTACCGGACCATTAAATTAATGAAATGGTAAGTGATATCCAATCAAATAGATCTAATAGCGACAGTAAATCATAAACAAGGCATTAACAGGCAAAATGTCACCACCTGCCATTTGTTACATATGCCGAACGCCAAACACCAACCGTTGACCGCCACCACAAAAAAAGTTGGAAACTTTAACAATATGTCTTTGCTTGTGGTGGTAACATAAAAATCAAGATATTTTGAAAGGAATATTAAAGCTCAGATGCAAGACAATATGTCCCCTAAAGAAGAAAATCATTAACTCAAATATTTCCTTCTCGTTAACATTTAAAAATGTGGACATTAGTTATAAATCAGCCTCATAATAGAAGTCTTCATTGCTGTTTTACACCATTTAGCTTTAGAGGATTGTAGATGGAGTAATACAACTGATGTTTTATTGGGATTACAGTGACACCCCTAATATCTCTTACAAAGTTATATTGTCTGATGTTCCTCATAAAGTAGGACATCCCTTGAGATAAATGCTCTTACTAGCATGTTGAGGGCAATGAACATCTACTATTTCTAAGTCAATTCCCGATGATGGTTCAGTGGTAAGACAGTGTAAATTTTATTGCATATTATTTTTGTTATAGTGTCCAGGTGCTTAACATACTCATGTAACTTTTTTGAACTTCGACAAGCATTATAGCTTATAAATAATGAGAACATAATTTATTTGTTATTTATTCTTTAAAATAAAATCATCTGGCGACTGGGTCATTAGCTTAGATTGAATTCCTATTGAACAGCTGAAACTATTTTTAAATGCACAAATGTCCCAAAGAAGGAAACCCCCAATATCCAAGACTTTAATCTAATGTACAAAAAAATAATATCTGACATTGAAGTAGACAAGCATGTGTGAAATGAATATCAATGATATCAATGTGTTCCATCTAATCTAAGAGACAAGAGAGATGTTCAATCATGCCTAGCCCAATTGAGGTAAACAGACAAGTCAGTCTTCAACTATTGAATCTCAAGAAAAAAATTTCCATCAGTGTTTTCGTGGATAATAATTCAAAGGCTTTGAATCGATGTCAATTGGCAATAACATTGTGTTCCTCGTCTTTTAAGTGCTCAGTTATTTTGAGCAATTGTGTTTCTCAGATTGCTTTCCAACTAATAACCTCTGAATGGAAGTGATTAAATTGTGGGATGAACAGTTATTGCATTGTAGGGTATTCCATTGATCATCATTCGAAACTTGTCTCTAAAACTGCAATGCAATTTTAATTTTAAATATCACCACTATAGCTAAGGAAGACAAAGTATTGTTTGATCATCATTCAAGATCTGGCATTGCTGACCCACCTCGTGGAAAGAATTGAGAAACTCTTGTACCAAGGATGCACCATTGTACCAATGACTAAACAAAAGTCCTGGGATGAGAAGACAAATGAATTTCAGCTAAAAAAGTCAACATTGCAACTTCCAAGTGGAATTTGAAGATTAATTCTGCACATCCTTAGATGAAAAAACAAAGTGGAAGTCAAAATTCTGAATTTTTTCTTCATATGAATCAGAATAGTATGTTGTAAATCTATTTGGTTAAATCACTCTAATGTGATTCTGATAAAATTAATGCTTGGTAAAAGAAGGACCAAGTGTTACTTATTGAAATATCATCAAGGTTTCCATTTCAGGAAGGTCAGAAAGACATAGAAAGATATAATATCCTTTTACATTCCTCCGTTTGCAATATCCTTTCTCATTATTACAAAAACATATTGGCTTCAACTCTGAAGTATATTCAATATTTACCCAATAGTTTTCAAGAGATTCATCATCTTGCATTGGTGTTGGCAAACATAACAATCTATTTACCTGCATTCAGAGTGCCCAATTCATTTCATTTTCTGCCGACACCATGCTACTTAACGTGAGTGATTGATGATTAGGTATCGTTTCCTTATAGAATATACCCTACTCAAATAGCACCTCACGATAACATATTGTAACAGAATATAACGTGATTCCAAGAATAGTCAATTGTGTAATAGCACTAACGCAGAATTAAAACAAGTACAGTCAAGGTAGCAAGCACCTATTGGTATGCGTGTCTGGGATCTGAATGATCATCATTTTATTCAATTCATTAACTAAATGGTCCTCTACACACACCATAATGTACTTCACATTGTCTTAAATCCTTTAAAAGTCACAAATGTAATTAGAAAAGCTCATCGTTCCACATAAGTATTGGTTGGGAGTTGCCGAGTTAAAGATAAATTATATTGTCAAGTAATTACTGTACTTTGTTCTCTCTGATATTTTCTGTTTGATTCACATGAGACCAATAAATAAAGGAACACAGAAATAACTCAGGACTTCTAAGAGCTTAAATGACTCTTACGAGATTTGTAGTTATCCGAGACGAACATCCATATTCTTTTGAAGACAAAGATGTACCCATATGCATAATTCAAGCCAATTTTCAACAATTATTTCAAGAATGAAAATGGAAGAACTTTGAATTATGTATTCTTTCCAAAAAAAAATGTGTTAAATAGACTCTACAATTAATACAATATAAGACAACAAAAAGGTTTGAGGAAACAGATGGTTTTATGACACATATCAGAGAAACATTCAAGGAACAAGTACACACATGTTTGCAAGGCTACAGAATTTGTGACATACATCGTAGCATGCTTAGACAAACATTTAATAATGAACAGTACGTACATGTAATGTATTACACTGTATTTACCTTTGTGAACTCACTGTAGATGAAGGCCTGCTCCAATCCCATGAACACAAGCAATGGGGTCAACAGCTGCAGCCGAGGATCCCGTAACAACTTCAATGTTGCGCTGAATGAATCCTGCGATGATGTCCCAGACACAGAGCACTTTGTAGCAGTTAATGTTGTAGAGTTTCTATCCAACAAGGCAATTATGCAAATAACACCCAACGCTGCACAGCAAAGGAATATACTAACCAGCATATAGCGACTTTCAGGCGGGGTCTCAGCTATATGCAGATACATATCCTCTTCTAGTAATGTAAACTTTCCACAGTCTTTTGCGGCGCAAAATTTCCCAGTGCGATTCTCATTAATATGTTTTGTGTTAACATGAATCGTGTCATTGTTTGAAAGAACCATGGCGGAGAAAATATTCCCCCATATATGGCATGTCTGGAATATACCATTGAAAATGCCATTGAATTTACTGATGGCCTGTTCCGGTAGAATATCAATCGTCTGTGCATATGAGATCGCTGCAGTGGTCGTATAAGTGGACTGGGCACTCCAAAGAGGACCTGTTAACAGTCCCAAAAGAACAGAAGCTGGAATTAACATGAAGTCCTTTGGGTAGAAGTTTGTTGCTATATATACAAGAAACAATGAGAATGAGATTACGATTGTCCATTTTGTGGTAAGTTTTTGTATGATCCATGGTGATGCGAGACAGGATACAACAGTCGCGCCATAGATACAGCTTAATGATGCAACTCCTATTCCATTATGATGGTTAACAGTACTCTGTAAGCCTTGAAGAGATGAAAAGGCTGTGTAGACACACATGAATGAAAATCCCAGCACAAATAAGTTCTTGAAGGACCATCTTACTGTTGATTTTTTCACAGGTTTTGTGGAAAGATAACCTGCCTGGTCCTGTCCATCATTTAATGCCCCTCCTACAGCATTAATGTTTACATGTTGAGCGTTAACAGTTTTGTAATTCTTTATCTTAACATTTTCACATTTCTTTGTGTCTTTACAGAATTTCTCTTTCTCTCTTTTTGTAAATGTTTCATTGTCTGCACTGCAAGCCACATCTTCTATGGCTTCAAGATGCAGCCTACTCTCCCCTGCTAGAATACCAGCCTTTGTACTATGAAACTGGGTTAACATTGTGTTGAAGTCACTTTAATACTGTGGAACTGTGTTAACATTTTGCTGAAGCTACTTTTGTATTCTTGAACTTAATGTTAACAATGTGTTGAAGTCACTTTTATATTCTTGAACTGTGTTAAAAATGTGTTGAAGTTACTTTTGTATTCTTAAACTATGTTAACATTGTGTTGTGTAGCCAGTCTGATGTGAAACTGTGTTATCTTACTAAAGCCCCTTTTGTACTTTTATACTGTTGAACTGTTTTAACATTGCGATGCTGCCTTTAAACCTTGGAACTGTATAATCAACCCATTGCACTCCTTAAACTTTACAACTTCGTTATCACCATGTTGCAGCCTTCGTATTGTGTAACTGTGTTGACATTGTAATACCAGCTTTCTGTCTTCAGGTGTGTCTTTATTAGCTTTTATACCTGAAAGACATTAAACAATCAATTAGTAATAATTAAACATTCCTATGGCAATTAATACACACGATTATATTGATTATGATCCCTTGCTACCTTATTAAAATAACAAGGTATTTAGACTCTCCGTGATGATTATACAATTCCTGATTGGAATAGGTTATTATAGCACGTATAAAGTGTAATATAGGTGATATTTTACAAAAGCAAATACCTGGTAATTCTTTTATTCTTGTAATATCAAATGGATTTAATAAATCAGCGGGAATTGGATGCAATTTCCTGATGTTTTTAATCTGTTCATCAACAATTATATTTTTCTCCGATCTCTATTTTTCATTTCAATCACAGAAATATCGCAGAATTATCGTATTTTGAATGGACGCGAGTCAGTTGGCATTGCACGAGTCAAGCTGTGTGATAAACCACAATTCCAATTCCTTTACATAATGTACTTGTGGATTTCTTAGATTATTAGATAATATAGAGCTCTCTTAGCAGGGACTATGGATTATTAGAATGTAACACAAGGCAGTTATTACATACACTCCCCGCCATAAATTTGGAAAACATGAATTTCACTTTTTCATAACTTATTAAAACCTGTTTACATTTGGCGAGTTTGGAAATTAAAAAAAACATCAAATTTGTCTTAATTTCCAAACTATTGTAATTAAGGAACAAATAAAGATTCCAGCATCAGCATGTTTTGATATGCTTTCAAATTCAAACTCCCAATTGTCAAACTTATGGAGGGGAGTGTAGTTCCAGCATATGGGAAGTGAACATATAGTAAATGTTCCATTAAAGGAAGGGGTAATGGTAGCAACTCTTCAGATAATTAACTTATACCAAAACAAGGTTGTAATAACATCTACAAATTACCTTGAGTGTCAGCACCTGGTACATTAGGCTCAGCATATAAGTGAAATAAACGTAAACTTTTGATTCTGGTAAGATCTTAATAATTACCCAAAAAGTACCTGTCACAACCTTTAATGAGAGTTTCATTGTGAAATGAATGTCAGGTACTTATGAAAGGTTTAAGTCTAGGGAATGATATTTTGATAGGGTGGCTGTATTTTTATCTCAGTGATCTGATTGGTTAGGCTAGATCAAATGATTATCTCTTATTCAAAGTGAGTATACATGAAGCTTTTTTCGAAAAGCAATGAATCAAACTACTATTATTTAAAAGGGTATATCTACAAATCAGTAACTTGAAGTAAGTTGGCACACCTTGCTTCCATCACGAGTACAAAATATGATCCTGATACTGACGTAAAAAACCTTCTGATATTAACTTATTCAAATCATATACAAACAATTAACTTTTATAAGAGCCGTAATGTTACGTTCGAAAATAACAGAAAGTAAAAACAGCAATTAAAATATGATAACAATATATTTATATTTTGAAAACTAAATAATATAACAATAATATAAAGGAGGTTTAATACTTATGTGATGTCCAATCAATGATACGGCTTATTCTTGATGTCGATAAATGTCGTTGACGATACTTGAGAATGTTCCGGATCACGAAATGTTTCAATAATCGATAATAGTTCTCCAATGTTTGTAATAATCCAATAATGTTTGTTGTAATCCTATAATGTTCGTATCCAATAATGTTTGATGATAATCCACAAATGTTTGATGATAATCCACAAATGTTTATGATAATCCACGAATATATATGATAATCCGTATATAATGTATGTTGTAATATATGTCCATATAAAGTCCTCAGGTTGTGTGTTTGTAGAGTTATAAATGTTCCCACAGTAGGTGTCTGTAATATTCCGCTTAGAAGATGTCTTTTGATCAATTTTGAAATTCTGCTTTATTTAGTTCCTTTGAGATGTCCAGTTAAGATTACTTAATTATCTGCTATTGAGTCCACTTTGCAGTTTTATTTATAGTGTGAAAGAATCATCTAGAAAGAATCTTCTGGAACTGAGACTACTTGTTGAGTTTTGATTGGACATCTCCAGTCACATGATTAAGTCTTAATGAATGGTTATATTTTCTAGAACTCTCTGGATGGTCAAGAGTTAATGAGTCATTCAGTTCAGTTCTGTTTACAAGATACAGTGTATAATGTCATTGTGACCTTGACCTAAGATCTCTAATAAAGAATAGCTCAACATATACAGCAAGCATAGATTACAAATTAAAAAAAACTATAGGTGAATATAGTAGAATATAATATACATGTAGCTCACTACTGTAACACCTCCCTCCTTAAAAGAAAAGTTTTGAATGCAATGAAAAACTTTTACAATAATATCTTGAGTAGCGAGCGTTACAATTTTTAAAAGTGAGGTTGAGACTAACATAATATTTGTTTACAATAGTCTTTTTATATGCAGTATGTTTACAAGTATATAATACTTTCTATCGTTACAGTGTGAGTACAATCTAATAACATATAATGTTCTGTAATAATGTGTTACAATAGTATCATACTACAATAGTATCAAACTAAGTTATGCATCAAGTCATAAATACAATACATGCAATAGATCATATAACTTGTACAATAGTATACTTTTTTTTGAGTCTGACAAACACTAAACTTGTACAATGTTTTACATTATCACATGATCTTATGTAACTATTTCTACTAGTACAATCTGATGTTATTTAGTAATCTTGTGACACTATTTAATGATCACCTATAATGCTCACATAATCTTAATACAATCTTTTTGTTCACATAATATCAATTTCACTGTTTAGGCAAATGTTTTTATATACAGTATATAAGTGACAGTTATCTCAAATCTCCAATTTGCCTATCATATAATAAATATAATCTTCATGAGTTAATCATTATAATTTACAATATCTGACTCTTGAATAACATACATGTTTAGTTGTCATTGACATACAAGTTTGGCCTATGAGCTAAGAGCACAAGCTCATGTTGAGTAAAGAAATTTTATCACGCTCAACATACTTTTTCATCATGTGTAGCTCTCTACACCTCACATGAGTAGTTTTATCAATGCCAATGAAATCATTCAGCACTGAGTCAGATTGTAAGTCAGATATAAGCTCCTTTGGTAGCCCAACTAATGTGAAATTGTTGATTTGTGATTTCACAATATACTTGGTTTTGCTATTTCTAAGCAGTGGTCTAAGGAGTGATTTTATTTCTGGAAACTGTGTGGCCATGGACAGAATAATGAGCAGATATTGATTGTCAGATTTTGTTTTTGGTAAAGGACCAACACAGTCAATAAGAACCTTACTGAATGGTTCATCAAATGCAGGTATAGGGTGTAAAGGAGCAGTTGGAATTTTCTGGTTAGGTTTCCCTACCATTTGACATGTATGACAAGACCTACAATACTCTTGGACATCTTGTTTTAATTTGGGCCAAAAGAAATGATTGAGTATTTTATGGTATGTTTTAGTTACTCCTAAATGACCTGCCATGGGAGAATCGTGAGCTAGACTCAAGATTTCCTTATGATATGATTTGGGGACAACAATTTGATGTACAATTGCCCAATCATCTTCAGGGGAAGCTTCAGGAGGTCTCCACTTTCGCATTAATATGCCATCCTTTTTGTAGAAACAAACAGGGACCTTGACAGCTTCATCAATAGTAAGACATCTTTTATGAAGATCAATGAGTGATGGATCATGCTCTTGTTCATAAATTAACATGTGTTTAGAATGAGGATCATTTTTCAAAGAATCACTATCAGAAATAGAGGATGAAACCTCAGAACTAGAAGAGGATGAAACCTCAGAACAAGGAGGGGATGAAACCTCATGAACACTAGCAGAAGAAGATGAAACTTCATCAAGACTAGCAAGAGCGGGCGAAACCGCATTAAAATAGTGATCCTGCTCAGAAGGTGAATCACCTCTGGCAATAGGCTTTTTCAATGAAGAATTTGCCTCAATAGTTGACTGCTTGGCTCGAACAGAAGGCTGTTTCAATGAAGAATTTGCCTTTAAAATAGGATAAGGACCATCTTTAACAAGTGGTGAGTGACATTCATCATCAAACAAGGAGCTTAAAAACCCACTATCAAAGTCATCTCCCACAGACGAATCCCCGCTATCAGCTAACCTTTTAGCCATAGCCCTAGTAACAGCACAAGCAGGATATATCTGAGTCCTCTTGGACAGAATCCTCAATAGAACAAGGCTGATCTGAAACAATGGGGTCTAATGATACCTTACCCCCAGCTAAATCATTGCCTAAAAGCAATGCGACTCCTTCAACAGGAAGTTGTGGCCTAACACCAACAATAACTGGCCCTTTGACTAACTCTGATGTGATATGAATACGATGGAGGGGAACTTTAGTAAAACCTAATTCAATGCCTTGCATCAAAATATGGGTACCTGTGAATGACTCCTCAGATAAAGGAAGGACACCTTCTAACAACAAAGTCTGAGATGCACCCGTGTCTCTAAGAATCTTAATTGGCTTTGAATTGGTATCATCACTTGACAGTGACACAGATCCTTCAGACATGAAAGGCTTATAATCCTCCATAATATCACTATGAGTAGATTTCTCAGTATGAGTATATGAATCCCAAACAATGGGCTTTCTTGAAATGGGAACTGTAGCACAACCATTTGAATGAGCAGAACCAGACATCTCTCTTCTATTCTTAATCCTATAGCATTCAGAAATAAGATGACCAGGCTTTTTACAATAATTACAGGTGACGTTTGATTTTGGACCTGAAGAATTTGATTGATCTGATTTTGAGCTAGAATTCTGTGATGAATTAGACTGGTCTTTTGCTTTGTTTGATGCATTTGATGATGAGGACTGATTTGATTTAGAGTCATATGAAGGTTTGTTACCTTGATAACCTCTAAAGTTAGAATTACCTTTGATAAAACTACCCTTATGAGTTAGAGCATAATCATCAGACAGGGTGGCAGCTTGACTTAAAGTTTCTACCTTGTGTTCATCTAAATAAGTTCTAATGTGATATTGAACACAGTTTTTGAATTGTTCTATT